TCGACATATATATAATTTAACAACATAAAGATAAATTATTATCAAGTACGACATATCATATTAAAAGACATTTACATATACTCGTGTATGACATATAATCATGCAAGTACGACATATAACAATATACGACATACTTATAAAATCGATAACAACATATAATCGAGTACGACATTAAATAATATACGTCAAATACATACAATCAAGTTCGATGTATGATAATATACGACATATACATTAAATCGACTACAATATATAACCATGTACAACATATGAGCCGCGTCATGACAAAACCAACATAATGGGTTTGCGACCAGCATGGATCCAGACCAGCTTGCGCATCCGCGCAGTCTGATCAGGATCCATGCTGTTCGCTATCAGTTTCTCTACTTGCTATAGAGTTTGTAAGCGAACAGCATTGTCCTGATCAAAATGCGCGGATGCGCAGGCTGGTCTGGATCTATGCTGTTCGCTATCAGTTTCTCTACTTGCTATAGAGTTTGTAAGCGAACAGCATGGTCCTGATCAAAATGCGCGGATGCGCAGGCTGGTCTGGATCTATGCTAGTCGCAAACGCACTATGTTGTTTTTGTCGTGACGCGGCTCATATAATAATATATGACAAAAACATACAATCAAGTACGACCTATAATAATCTTCGATGTATACAATAAATCGAAAATGTGTATATTACGCTATACACATATACATAATCAAATTCAAAATATATCAATTTACGACATAAACATACAATCGAATAAGACATTAGATAATAGATATTGTATATGATCAATAACAAAAATATGACAAAGAACACAACTTTCATGTACCACATATTATCAAGTACGTATATGATTATATTAATATGCTGTATAAAAAAATGAAGAAGAGTAAATTTTGAAAGCTAGTCAAAGCGCTAAGCTTTTTGAACAGATAATATATGATCATGAACCGTGTATGATCAACAACTTCGTATGATCAAGTATCACATATGATCAAGTACCACATATTATCTGATAGAAAGAGCGCGGGATAGCGGGTAGTGCAGGATAGCAGGGAGTGCTGACAACGCGGGATAGCAGGGAGTGCGGGGATAGCAGGTACCGGGATGTGCCGGGTAGCTGGAACAGCGGGGAGTGCAGGACAGCTGGACTAGCTGATGGTGCGTGAATAGCAGGAAGTGCGGGGAAAGTAAAGATAACGGATAATACGGGATAGCGTGAAGTGCGTCGATTGCAGGGAAAGAAGGGGGTAAAGGGTGGCGGTTATATAGCGGGGATGACAGGGATGGTGTGATAGAGAGAAAAGCGCGGATAGCGGGGAGTGAGGGGAAAGAGGGGAGTGTGGGATTCCGGGGAGAGAGGGGATAGCAGGAATAGCATTGAGTGTGGAATAGCAGTAGGTGCGGGATAACAGGAATTGGAAGGATTGCAGGATAGCGGGGAGTGCGGGGATATAAGGGATAGAGAAATGTGGGATAACGGGGAGTAAGGGGATAGCAGGGAGTAAGGGGACAGCGGTGAGTGTGAGATAGCGGAAGGTGCGGCTATAGCAGGGAGTGCGCGTAATGCAGGGAGTGCGGGATAGCACATATTGGGGGTGCACGGATAAAGGAAAGTATGGGGAAAAGATCCTTTCGACTGTCTCCGCACTGTCATGGGAATTTGGGACATTTAGCAGAGATTTACGATCTTACTTTTCTAGTAAGGCACAATAATGACCATGTTTTTTTGAAAATACTTATGCTGTTTCTCGGGGTTATCTCGTGTTTAAAGGGAGAGAAGAACTAAAAATAAACAATGTTTATTTATCCGTGGGTTGTCTTTTCTTGTACGAAATTTTACAATTATGATTACGTGATTTAACATAACTGTGAAACTTTCTATAAGTGGTTAACATGATTCACAAAGATTAAATTAACATTTCTAGTTTTCTAACCCGGAAGCTGCTCATTGTTCTGATAGTTATTGCTATAGAAACTGGTCTATGTTAATATATAAGTAAAGTGTTAATATTAATTCAAAACATTCTTGATATTTACCAACAATATAGGGTGTTAGCGTTCTAGGAACCACGTAAGTTCCATTTTTGTTGTATAATGTTGAATAATTTATATAATTTATTTTTGATCTGTTACATTTATTTAATTGTATTTTGATTTATACACTAAAGTTGTTTAATATATTTATTACTGTTACCATTAGGTGATAGGCGAATATGATTCAGGACTTGACTCACTTAATGTATATACATTGTATATATAGGTCAATAAATTTTATGATTTTTTATTGTTATTAACATTTTTCCCAAATATACCGGGTAGATTCGTTTTTTTAGATTTTTTGACACGTTATTTGACCTTGTATCAACGACTGAAAGGTGGTTATATAACGCTCGCTAAGCAGTTTGAGTTATATAGTCTTAAAGTCGTTTATGCAGGGCTTTATAACAGATCAAAGAAATGTCTTGAATATTTCTTGTGGACGACAGTTTATTAAAGCCGCGTCATGACAAAACCAGCATAATGGGTTTGCGACCAGCATGGATCCAGACCAGCCTGCGCATCCGCGCAGTCTGATCAGGATCCATGCTGTTCGCTTACCAACTCTATTACAAGTAGAGAAACTGATAGCGAACAGCATGGATCCTGATCAGACTGCCAAATGCGCAGGCTGGTCTGGATCCATGCTGGTCGCAAACCCACCAAGCTGGTTTTGTCGTGACGCGGCTCATTTTATTTAAGCAAAGTCAATGTCGTTTGCCTTATTCGACATTTCTTCACTAATAACATCTGTGTAGTGAACATGGGGAGCATTTTTTCTAAATAAAATATATGTAGGCATCTACTTAACTAAAATTAATTGACGAACAATTATAGAACAGAAAAGAAACAATGTAAAGAAGTGAGAGAAAAAAATAATTGAAAAAAGAAGCGCGGGAAAATGAATTAATAGAATGTGACACAATCGGAACCAGTCACCAATCCTATAGAGGCAGTTTTAACTCGTATAAATGTGATCGTTTTGTGCTCATTTAGTTTAATAACGTAGTGTCATTGGTCGGTGAATTAGTTACATCTCATACAACATTCTAACAATTGTAAATTGTTCCGTCGCATTTTAAAGAAAACCGAAAGACAATTCGGTCAGAAACGATTAAGGGGAAGCAAAACATACAAATTATTACGATATTAGTGCTAAAGATTTGCTTCCCTTGCATTTTTCTGTAGTAGAAAATTGCATTTTATGTGTAGCATATAAGTTGACACTCTCAGTTTTTCACATTTCCTTTTTATTAAATTAAAGTCTATAAAGCTATATATCTGACTCAAAAATTATTTTTTGAATTTTAAAAAAGTATGCTTCCAAAATGCTTAAGCGAATGGCGCATGCACAAAATCATTGCTAAACGGATAAAACCTTACTTAAAATAGCAATATATTAATATTTTGTTCCGCGCAACATTTTTTTATGTTTACGTACATTATTCATGTGTATTAAATAACAGAGACATTCTGTGTTACAACTTTTTAATAATGGAACCAATATAATTTTACTTTCAATTTTTTTTTAAATATTTCATTAGATATAGATTTATACCCTTTAAAGTAGTCTCGTACCAAACCGATCCTAGGAAACCCGTTAGTAACGGTTTAGATCAATGTGGCCATATTTGACTCGTTTGAAAATATTTTAATGTCATATTGTCATATTGAAAATTCTCTTCAAGTGTGACTTGTTTTGTTTGTTTTAAAAGCACAAATTATGCTTCAGAAAGAGTTTTTGTTTTTTGTCTCTGAAAGGGACAAACATGTTTTACATTAAAAATGTTTGAATAATGGATTTAAAACAGATAAGAGATTTAGTGCGCCGGAAGGAAGTAACACTGAATGTGAAAGGATTTGTTATAGAGGTAGCAAATTGTCAACAACAAAGTGGCGATTTGACTATCATATATACAAAATACTACATCATTATCAATCTTACTAATTTCCAAAGCAGTAGATGATTCAGTTACAATGGCAAAAGAGTACTTTTCTGGCAATTGTAACATAACATCAGAATTAACAAGTTTTTGTTAATGAAAATAATAAAATTTGTGTGGGGCATAATGGGCCTATAAGTTTTTTTAGATCAAGTGTTCTAAACTCCCATTCCTTGATCTTCTAATTTATAATTTTTTTCGATTAAATAATGATTTCTAAAACATATACTCATGATATCACCTGTTTTCAGCCGAGTTCAGTTTCGATGATCCACGACGTTTTACGGTAGCGGGAGAAGGCATTGCAAAATGATGGATACGTGAGTTTAACTTGCGATGAAACGGAAATAACAGCTTTTTTCTCAATAAGCGCTAGTTGTATTTGTTATTGTTGTTTTATATATGAATAACAGATTCATCCTGAGCGATACACGCGTTGCAGTGTTGACTTAATCCGTATTTTATGTGTATAATTTACATTATACGTGCTTGTATTACATACTATGTCTAAGTATTCAGTTACAATACATATTTATTTATATAATGTAACGTGATCATTTTAAGACACGCACAAATGTGAGATAACGATTTAACTAAATTTACTTCTCTAGATTATTTGAGCGGTGGAAAATAAAAATGGCGCACGTGTCACGTATCTATAGTTCATATATACATATCTTATAATGAGTATAAAACATGTATGACAAAATAAAAACACATATGTTAAAATAACGGAGACGCAACAAAAAAAATGAATGTAAGACGAATAAATCAAAATGGTCAAAATGTTACATTTGTACAAAAAGTATTAAAAATGTTATAAATTACAAAAATTGAGCCCTGATATGTTTGTGAAGCTAAAATGCGGACGTCGGGGGCTTGAACTATTGAATATATCTTAACATGCTAGGAGGGTAATAATTGGAACGCAAAGTTATTATTTCGCAACTTCGGATCATTTTTAACATAGGAGGAAAGTATTCAATATATATAAAACTTTCTAATTCGAAAATTCCATGTGGATCGTGACTGTTTACTTTAAATTTTATAACAAATCGTGCTCGCGCGGTATAAATTATTTTAGCAGAGTAAATTAATTAAATACTATACTGAAACGTGTATCATTTATACTTATTTTTGGAGTGTTGAAGCGAAAAATAAATCGTTCACGCACGGCTCTTCAATATAGCCTGTTATATTGATCAGTCACTGCGGTATATTATGTATAAACTAGTGCGATCTAGAAAACTGTTAAGTATTAATGGTGTACACATTATCAGCGCGTGTAAACACACCGGATAACAATATTGTGTTGCAATCTATGTTAAGAACACGCTGTAAATACGTTTAACTTGCCAACGATATTCTAAGCTTAAACGGCGATTTAAAAAGAAATTGATACGGAATCATAAACCGCTGTGAATAGAGGAAATGGATTTTGTGTTTGAATTGGAAATCTAACGGCGCTCAAAAGTTGCGCATAAAGAATAAAATAGCGTGACACAGTTAACGTTTCTCGCTAACTGGAATGCGGTAGATTGGACCATAATGCATTGCGGTGCGTCTCCGCATGCGTGATTTTAGAAGTCGTGTCAATGTTTATAAACGGGAAGTGTGTACACTGAGCCTGAAATATCTTGTTATTATATCTATTTTGCGTTTTTGAAAACTGGAAAATTTAGGATACCATTCACAATGTCATCGGAAACGACGGACACGCATAAAGACTGGATTTTAGAGATTATAGATCAGTTGAGAAAGAGGAAAGCGCGACCAGATCTGGAGCGTATTACTCACTTTGTGGAGCGTAAGCACGGTATAGGGCGCAAGGAGACGGAAGCGCATCTTGAGACATTGGTCGATAAAGGAATCGTGATCAAGGTCGTTTATAAACGCGGGACAAGCTACAGAAACGCTACTAAATCACGGAAACGTTGTTTCGTGTCAAATGTGCTCAATTCTAATCTGGCTAGTTTTAAAATCAATGAGGCGGTAAATAACATATTAAAGGAGCGCGTTCCGGTGACCGTCGACGGCGACGAGGATGAGGACGTCGACGAGGAAGAAGAACCTATGCAAATTGACGAAGATTGTGAAGGGGTCAGTGCTAAAGAAATTGAAAAATGGTTGAAACAAAACGATGAAGATATTGGACCCTATCCGGTTCATTGGGCCGTACAACGGGAAGTAGATGCCGGGAGGTTATCTTGCCTTCAAAACGGAAATTTTGTTCCGTTCCGGGAAGAAAAAACACTAGATACATCTTCCTCTATTACAACTAGCGATCAGTGTGACAGTTCTCAGGGGACTTCGAAACCGCTGCTACAAAAGTCGATGAGTGTATTTGCGAAAAGGGGGCGTCCACCCAAGTTAAAAGTATGTAAATTAAAATCGAAACAGAAACGGTCGTGAAACACTCCTGTTTCTAATTATAGATAACTTTTAGTACATGTTTATCTATATTTTTTTTATGTCAGCGCTAGTTTCGACTAATATGTGTAAATATAGATATAGTTTATTAAAGACTGTCAACTGGTATACACCTGGTTATGTTACTTGAAGGACATTTAAAAATTTTAAATCATTTTTTACTAAAAGTATGTTTTCCGGTATGTAAATATGCCACTGTTCCTCTTTTATTTTTAGCTTAAATTTTTAATCGCAAACACGCATGAAACAGGCATATTTAGGTTTTATGAAAGTGTTTAATGTTGATAATAAATACCATAATTATGACAGTGTGAAAAACGCTTTAGGGACTTGCGCGTGACGTAACCTTTAACCTTCGAAACGTTTCCTGAACGACTGTTAAACGACACGCCTGATTTTAATACCGGGGCTTCCGTAGCGAAATGGTTAAGGATGCGATTTCATATTGTTTTGTTTCTCACCGTGTTAAAGTTCGAATTACAAATGACACCAGGGGAGTTATTTCATGCAGCTATTATGCCAGTATTCGTAGTTTAGAATCAGTCGTTCTACACAGGTGCCTGCTCACGAGGGGTTTCTTCATTGGTGTAATATTTAGATTTTATTTAAAGTATTTGATATATTTTGTTTAATGTAAGCAATGGTAACTGAAAAAAAAACACATTATCTGAAATTAGAATGAAGGAGCCTATCCCAAGAAGCTTATGAAAAAGGATTGAGAAGCCTTAGTTTGTTTTGTATTGTGTTCTCTTTAGATATGAATCTTTAGAAATATAAAATCTGCTTACTTTAGTAGAGCATTATGTCGCACGTGCGAATACTTAGAACGGCACGTGTATTTCCTTTAAACTTATAGTTTTACTGAATGAATCGCTCTCGGTATAGGATAGCGGGTTAGCACTGGTACAGAATCGAAGAGAACTGGTCAGGTGATTGTCTGTCTGTCTTTCTGTCTGTTTGACTATAAATACTGTCATAAAAACTGGTGTAAACAGTGCGATAAGAAAAACAAACACACTTTTCTCTAATGAATGTTCTTAATCGAACCAAATGCATTCCTGACGGTAATTTCTGATCGATTTTCGTACTATGACACCGCGCATTACTTCATAAATACACATAGTATTGCTTTCAATGAAAACAATCTTGAAATGAATTTGTAAACGCATAAAAGATATGTAAAAGAAATACGCAACAAAATGTACGCTGCAGATATTATACATACGGCAAATATTAAACATGTAAATACTGTATTAAACGCGACAAAGGTGGCTCTCTCCGTGTTATACCAAGCTCTCCGTGTTATACCAAACTTTCTCCATGTTTTTTTCCAAACTCTCTCCGCGTTATACCAAACTTACTGAAGATTGCCGCCAGGAAAAAAATTGCCGCCTGAACAATTAAATTGTCGCCGGAACAATAAAACAACATTAAAGATATTGCATCAATTGTGTTGAAATCCGGAACAAAAATCTTTTATTTTTATTGTTTTATCTTAATATGACGTCAGATTTAAATCTCCATTTAAATTATCTGATTCATGCTGGTTCAAAAATAACCCCCACAATCATTGGTGCGCCTACTTCCCCGTAATTACTTCCCTTCAATACATACACTTTCGAGTCCATTGTTATTTGTGGACTTTCATTTCCGTCTTTCATTTTTTAAAACTTTGTCGACTCATTTGTGTTCTTTAATTTGACTGAAGTGCACTTTTGTTATTAAAAAAAAACTTTATTTTTTAAAATTTTCAAATTTGTAGTTGTTGATGATTTTATAATTTTTTATTCTAGCTCCCGAAGTTCAATAGGAGTGTGAGTCTAAATTCAGTTAGCATAGCGAAAAAGCCGGAAGAGCCACCGGAGTCCGCCCCTGTGCCGGTCATGCCACCTCATCTTTGTGATTTCTGTCAACAGTCAAGGGAACAAAACAGTAAAGGACAGCCAGAGGAATTACTTTTTTGTAAAGATTGTAATGCTAAAGGTAAGATATTTATACAATACTCGACCCTATATTGTTTACACAGTATGCGTCACTTGACGACTTTCTAGCTTTACTGATGGAGGGAGATCTCGTTCTGTAAGCTAGCTGGAAAGCTATCACAGAGGAAATAATCTAAAGTCTTTGTCAGGATTCGAACAGCGGTGAGGGGCAAGTGGTTTGATGTCAACAACCGTATCATAACCACTCTGCCACGGACACCCTCAATTAGAATTTTTAATGAAGTGTCCCTATTCATTTCAGTTAATTTTCAAACAGTGATAATAAATCTAGTCATGTTAAAGGTAAATTTCGCGTTATCTTTCCTTCATTATTTTCTCTTGCGTTTAGTAACTAAACTTAAGTTTTTATTCTACAGTTTTATTACTATTATTTTATTACGTTTCATACTTTTATGGATTCTTACTTCCTGTCTAGTATATATTAATTCTCAAATTCTGTCAAACCACGCAGTCCTTCCTGAGGAAAAGAACTATAAATCTTGCTTACAATATTGGGAATATGTTTGTTTCAATTTGAAGTACGAAATACATAAATGTAATGGGGACTAGAGCGGAAAACAGACTTCTCTGTTAACATAACTTTCATACATGCCTGCCGAAGGTTCTATTTACAAATTTAACTTTTAGAGTATAAATGATGAATTAAAAAAATTTAAAGACACAAACAGATGATTACTGATGCTGTACATTACCGATCTTCTTGCCTAGTTCACTTCCTATTCCTCTGTTCTTATTTGAGCCGTGTCACGACAAAACCAACATAATGGGTTTGCGACCAGCATGGATCCAGACCAGCCTGCGCATCCGCGCAGTCTGATCAGGATCCATGCTGTTCGCTTACAGACCCTATAACAAGTAAGGAAACTGATAGCTAACAGCATGGATCCTGATCAGACTGCGCGGATGCGCAGGCTGGTCTGGATCCATGCTGGTCGCAAACCCATTATGTTGGTTTTGTCGTGACACGGCTCGTTTTATTAAATGAAAACTTGATCAAAATAAGCTGGCGCCTGAGATATTGGTATTTCGTTTTAATGAATTTATTTACTTTTGTTGGTTTGTCATATGTTTAAAGAGGAGCAACATGTGTGATGTAAGCTTTTACTGTAATCCATTCTTTTAATTCTATTATGTTTCAGCACATCCCTCGTGCATGAATTATGCACCAGAACTAGCAGCACGTGCACGGAACACACACTGGCAGTGTATTGATTGTAAGACGTGCTGTATATGTTCCGACCCTGGTGAAGCGGTAAGTTTAATCAAAGACGATTTTTTGTGAGAAGACAATTGAATATGCATGAGCTATACTCTCGTATTGACGACACTCCAGTCTGCATGACGATAGCCGTAGGATGATAGTCGTTCAATCTATGGGAAGCCGTTTATACATCAATTTATCGGACTTTTGTCGTGTCATAGACAACAATATATTTTTTATGGCCGAAAAGTTTTCATTCACACGCACGGTTTAAAAGCGCAGCGGGTTATAAGATATACCTGATATTCGTGCTTTATAGCCGCCGTTGTTGACGAAATTTATTTCAAATATACATGTTTTAAATAATGTTTTGTTCAGGATAAAAATGAAAATCTCACAAGTTTTAAATTGCAAAATGATTTATACTTTTAGATCCTATTTATTCAAAGGCCACTTACATTTTAGAACACTTGTTGAAATGTTACAATGCCATTGTAAATTTTGTTCTGGTTGTTGTAAGTAAGCATGCAGTTATATTTCATATTTCACGTGAAATTTTTCACACGTGAAATTTTTCACGATTTAAAAATCAAAGTATTAAAATTTCGACATCATATGGACTGCACATGGATGCAGATTTAACCTTAGACGATGTTAATTGCCAGTTTTTCACCTTTTAAACGCTGCTGGATCTGTGCGTTTTGGATCCCGTCCGTGCGTTATATAAGGCCCGTCAGTGGTTTAATGTGTACCCCTATGTGCGATAAATAGTGAAACTCTTTATCTGTATACGTATGTATGTAAACCTGGTGAGTTTTAAAAAGATATTTGATCCACCATTTATCGTATAAACCAGGATAATTTCGGGACATCCCGGATATCATCGGAAATTTGACCATATTTTGTTTGCTATATTGAGTCACAAATAATACATATATTTAATATAATAACAGTGTGCTTCGGGTAATATCATCCTTAGTTGTTGATTAAATTGACACATAAATAAATTTAGGAGTAAATGTCTTATGTTTTTCGTCCTTGAATGTTTATTGTTGAAAATATAGGAAAGAACTGAAAATATATTCTACTAATAGATTCACTGTCCACAGATCATTGATTAGTACTTTTACGCATGGCGTCAAAACCAAACTAAACAATTATACAAACTTTCTGTTTTTGATTTTTTCAGGACTCCATGTTATTCTGTGATGCCTGTGATAAAGGTTATCATATGATGTGTCATGTCCCAAAAGTAGACGACAAGCCACAAGGTACCGTCATTTTATTATAGAATTGTATTATAGGTTATATGACCGTTTATAATACTGCACGTTTGCAACGTCGTTTTTCATTGGATAAAAAATTACGGCTGTCAATTTATGAAGAAATCTCACTTTTTTCACAAAACAAGAGTTTGCTGTATTATAAATTCGTTATTAATATTCCTGCCAGGTTATATGACCGTTTATACACGGTTGTTTGCAATCAAAGCCTCACTTTCGGCTAGGGTTATATTTCCAAACAACCGTTTATATAGGGTCATATAACTTGTCAAAATCATTATTACTAATATTGTAATTGGGTTCATTTTCTTCTGGTAATGGTATATAACTTATCAATATCACTAAGTTAAATGCGTAAGCAGCCGACACGCGATAACGAACAGTAATCTTAGGGTATCGAATTGAGTCTCCAGTGTCTCGGTCAGGTTGAAAAAGGTTTTGAAAAAAAAACTGATCCTGACACACTGCCTCCGCCCAGCACACCCTGCCTCCGCCCAGCACACTCTGCCACCACCCAGCACACTCTGCCTCCGCCCAGCACACTCTGCCTCCGCCGAGGACACACTGCCTCCACCCAGCACACTCTGCCTCCACCCAGCACACACTGCCTCCACCCAGCACACTCTGCCTCCGCCCAGCACACACTGCCTCCACCCAGCACACTCTGCCTCCACCCAGCACACTCTGCCTCCGCCCAGCACACACTGCCTCCGCCAAGCACACTCTGCCTCCGCCCAGCACACACTGCCTCCGCCCAGCACACTCTGCCTCCGCCCAGCACACCCTGCCTCCGCCCAGCACACTCTGCCTCCGCCCAGCAAATTCTCCGCCCAGCACACTCTGCCCCCGCCCAGCACACACTGCCTCCGCCCAGCACACTCTGCCTCCGCCCAGCACACTCTGTCTCCGCCCAGCACACCCTGCCTCCGCCCAGCACATTCTGCCTCCGCCAAGCACACTCTGCCTCCACCCAGCACACTCTGCCTCCGCCCAGCACACCCTACCTCCGCCCAGCACACCCTGCCTCCGCCCAGCACACTCTGCCTCCGCCCAGCTTTATATTTAACATGTTGTGCAATGCTCATATTTAAATGTTGGTAGAAACTAGGAAAAATGTTTTTTTTTGTTTTTTTGTTTTTATATGGCCAGAAACATAGCGCTACATATAGGGTCGTCTGTTCGTCTGTCCATTTTTCACAAAACTTATGCGGACTTAATCTGAAAAACTACTGGTTCTCTTCCATCCAAACTTTTCAGGAATGATAAGTATTAAGTCTAATTGCACATGTCATCGGCATTTTCCGTTAAATGATTTTGGTCTGAGTTACGGCCCTTTCATATATTATAAAGTTTTTCTGGATACCAGTAATGCAATAATGAATGAAACTTTATAGGATTGACCGGTAATCAAGTACCCGGTACTTGTGCATATCACACATTTTTTCTGTTCGAATGAACTTTGGCTGAGTAATGATCCCTGAACTGAAAAAAAAGCTTTTTGGCCTGTTTATGATCTTTCAGTCTGTTTTTACACAAAAGCGCAAAATGCTACAAAATAGCTACAAAATAGCCACGGCATATTGGGAACAATTTGTCCGATCACCCCTCAATACAACTGCTTAATTGCCTATCATCAGGCGACACATGTGGTCACTGATCGTTCTTGTTTATCACGCAAGCTGTGTTTTCTTATAGCGTGTAATTACATTTGAACAGAAACTCCTATAACTGACTATTTGAAAATTGTTCAGATTTCCGTCTCAAGTCACAAGATTTAATCAAGCAATACCGGAAGTGACGTTATATAGGAAGTCTCCACGATTACTCAGCAATTTTTTATTGTTCGTACGCGACTGAAAATGAATATGAGATGTTAATAAAATTATGTTAGTAAGACCTTTATAGTTTGTAACAGTTGAATTATTTTAATGTTATTTTCTCAATTTATAAAATTTACCCCTCAAATTTATTTGTAGGTAAAACATAATACCTTTTAAGATAGAAAATCAAGCGTAAAAATAGTTCATAAAAGGTTTGAAAATCAAGCGTAAGAATAGTTCACCTTTTATGTTATATTTGAAATCGTTAAATCTATGCATGTAGTGTTATTTATGGACAGATATAAGGAAATAGCACCCTCTCGTTAAGCAAATCAGAAATAAATTATAGATTCTATTTATATAATAGACTAAACTATTGAACTGAAGTCTTGCTACATAGAGAAACTGGAGTGTTGTATCAACTGATGTAAAGAAAATGTTTAAAGATATTAGATATCTGATAATTTATATTCCCTATTTGTAAGTATTCTTGATAACATTTCAACATAGATCTATGTGGTGCATTTTTCATTGCATATTGAGGTGTATTAATTTGCCGTAAGAGCGGTCAAGTTGAAAGAACAGTAACTCTTTCATTAGACATCGTGACACTTAAATATCTTTATTTATCACAATGTTTTCCTACTAATTTAGTATTTAAACAATAAAAAGTAGTTCTTAGAAATAATATCGCACGCTGTCAATAATATATCACTTAATAAAGTACAAACATTGTACATACTGGCAATGCACAGTTGTACCTTGTTGTAGATTTTTTAAGTCTGGCGTTCCTATGGTTAAAATTGATGATTTAGGGTAATGCCTAATATGGTGTTTTATTACTGCACATAATAACTTACATCATTATAACTTGATATTCAATGTCTACTTTCAGGGAAGTGGGTTTGTAGTGAATGCGTTAATGACGGCGTTGATATTGATGACGTCGAAGAAAACAGTTACCTCGCCGTGATAGATAGTACCGTCAAATCCACCGACTCAGGTAAGCTTCGTGACACTGACATGTCGTGTATAGAGTGGGGTACCATAGAGTAACGGGCCCCTCCTACGGTGTTATATTCCGGCCACCATATGTAAATGAAGTAATCTGAACCGCGAAAAAAGAACGAAAGTTCGAAGACGAAAACGCGAAAGTACGATGATTATAATACTGTAACACGATTACAAAAACAGGAAAAAATGAAAGATTTAGTAGCAAAATTGCTTGTTTTTATCATCGTGATTTGGTGTTTTATGCGTTTCAGATTACCTAATTTATAGGCGATGCAAAGGTGATGGCCCGAACGCAACACCGTATTCTCCAGCGTACCGTAAATGCTTCTCGTATTCCTTCTTTTTGCAAAATTTACGTTACTCACTCCGCTTGCTCAATATTTATCATACCATTGTTAGCACTTCAACTATGAGCGTATGAGCAGTCTTTGCGATAATTTCAATTAACAAGAATAGCACGTGAAATAGTGTTTACAGCCTTAAAATTTGTATTACTACTAAACTTTGTACATATTACACTGCTAGTTTGAGGGAATTGTTGTAGTTTTTATAGCTTTCTGTAGAATAAGATCATAGACTAGTTACCTCCTGTGTTTTTCTACGGGTTTTAATTTACAAAATTAAAGTCCGTGTTTTTCTAACATGCTGAAATGCTTGTAATACCGGTTCATTTTATATGAATAAAGAATATGTTCTATTCTGTTATGTTAAAAATGCTAGAAATTCACCTTAAATCTGGAGAAATACATACATATGGTGCAGAATTATTTAAAAAGTACGCCGATCATAGGCGAATCTTTGACCAGAGTATACGGTGTATATGAATTACCGGCGCTAGTATGTTTGTAGCAGACTAATTTCCAGGCAGTAATTATATCAATTTCCTACCCTTAAGTAAATCTTTATTGTGCATAAAAGGGCGGACGGGTCCTCACTAAACGTCAAGAAAAACGCTTCACTACAATAAAACTTTAAACTATAAAGCTTCGATTTGAACTCGTGTTTTTAAGTTGTAAACTAAGACCATAATGTGTGTTACCATCATAATAAGGTTTTTTTATTAAAAGTTGCCAGCAATGTTTTACTAAGGCCCTGCGTTAAATGGATATTGAAAACACTATTTATAACTATAACCTGCTTTGACTTTTTCAGAATCCTTTGCAAGCACTCGAGATAAAAATAGGTAAGTCAAGTTTTGAATAACGAAAGTTAGGTATCATGTGAACTGAATGAAATCATCGAACAGGAAATTGATTGGTCGTTGCTATCAGTACCGGGACCATCCGACCAGGCCTTCCATGCCGTCGACCAGACACTATATTGTTGATAGCTCAGCATTTTGATACTGAAATTCCTTAAGCTTTGAACGGACTGCTTCCATTTCAAAGCAAGATGAATCTATTACAGTATTATTATTATTATTATTATTATTATTATTCAGCAGACTAAACCATCGATGTTAAAGTCTTACTTTTCAAATGTTTGTACAAATGTGTATTTACTATTTATAGTTCGCTTATGAATATATTGTTAATGCATATCAATGTACTGGATGAAAAAGTCATGGGAAAGCGCGAAGTTACCAGGTTTCTTTCCTTCTTTTGTCTTTCTTTTCTGCTTTCTTATCTTCTTTCTAATCGTCTTTCATTTATCCTTCTGTCTTTTTTGTCCATTACTTGGCGAATCTTTACTTTCTCGTATTTTTGCAATGTTTTTTCAGTTGTGTAAGCCTAGCTCCTGGAAGCATTCATTAGTTTCATTGCTATTTTTATTTTCATATCAGTCTTATTTATTTATTTTTTTATTTATTTATTTATAGCATAATTATGACTTTATTATCATATATTCCCCCAGTGAGAGTGAGGTCCCACCAGAGCTATACCCAAATGCAACAAATTGGTCTATTACGGATGTTGTCAGTTACTTTCAACAAAAAGGTTTCAACGATTCAGCCAACGCTTTTGAATCACAGGTAACTTATATAAAACATGAAATATGAGCCGTGCCATGACAAAACCAACATAATGGGTTTGCGACCAGCATGGATCCAGACCAGCCTGTGCATCCGCGCAGGCTGGTCTGGATCCATGCTGGCCGCAAACGCACTATGTTGGTTTTGTCGTGACGCGGCTCATATATAGATCCGATTACAAGAGTGCGAAAAAGGATTTTACGGCGATATTACGCACAATATTAATCCAGCAAAAATATAAATATATCAAGGTCATACATCGCTTAATTAAGTATGAATGACAAGAAGCTTGTTGTTATAAGCAGAGATATCCATGGAGTATGCGCCATTTTTACCGCGCTGACAAGAAGGGAAAAAAATATGCAAAAAAATATGGACCGTAGTTTGAACATGTACTTACAGACTGAAACTAACATTCTGTTAATTATTAAGAACACACTCTTTATGTCTGTCTTACAGAGAGTTTTTATTTTCAAAACTTCGCATGAATTCGGCATTTATCGTTATTTTTAGTGTCTGACTTTTTATCAAAATTTCCTTTTAAGAGTAGGCAGTGGTTTTCAAACCAATCAAAATTGAGCCGCGTCACGAAAAAACCAACATAATGGGTTTGCGACCAGCATGGATCCAGACCAGCCTGAGCATCCGCGTAGTCTGATTAGGATCCATGCTGTTCGCTATCAGTTTCTCTACTTGTAATAGGGTTTGTAAGCGAACAGCATGGATCCTTATCAGACTGCGCGGTCTGGATCTATGCTGGTCGCAAACACATTACGTTATTTTTGTCGTGACACGGCTCATATGTCATTTTGTCTTTATTTCAGGAAATAGATGGTCAGTCCCTGCTGTTACTTAAGAGGTCAGACGTTCTACAAGGTTTGTCACTAAAACTTGGCCCCGCCCTCAAAATTTACAACCACGTGATGAAACTACAAACCGCGGGGCAACCGATAGGCAACGACTGACCACTTCCGGTTGAACACTTCCGGATGAGTTAATTCGGCTGATGATATTCCAATGTTGTTCCGTTCCTTACTGTGATTAACTTCTGAAGAAATTCCAACATTTTTTTTTCGTTTGGATGTTGCCATTACTGCCATTGTTCACGCTGTTACTGTTGTTTGTGTTCATTTAGTGTTTTCATTGAGGTATTGTTATCACACAAACAATGTGAAACCTTTATTATTATACATTATTGTACATAGATATGATCGTTTTTGATATGGAGTGTCCAGTATCATTTTTTATAATGTCAAGATAAAAGCACGACAGTATTCATTTAACAGACAATAATATGTAGATTGCGTGATTTAATTTTCGGTCTATGATTTAACTGGTGGTATGACACATGGGCTACAAAACATTGCCACAAGTTTCCATTACTACCATGTATGAAGATTATTACATATATAGAGGATATTGAATGAGTGTAAGTTCAATACTGAATTTATTGCACGAGTTGAATAAAATTATATTATGCGAGCCTCTGGCGAGCATAATATTATTTTATTCAACGAGTGCAATAAATTCAGTAATGAACTTACACGAATTTAATATTCTATTTATCACATACCCAAAATAAATACCGTTTAAACTGAAATAAGAGTCATTTTTCATTGACGCGCCTATAGTAAACGCTAACATTTAGCGCGTCTTTACACTATGTTTGTATAACGCTAATGACGTCACGTCAAAATATATGCACGGCCGTGCAATACCATTTTTACGGAGTCGCAAAATCGGCACGGGTGTGTGATAAATGAAACATATTTCATACACCTACAGATAGTATAAACTTGTTCCAGATACTTATATTTATTCGGAAGGTATTGGTTGCTGCTCTGTGTCATACCAACGCTTTCATGATTTTTTTAGAAAGCACGAAAAGTGCCGAGATTTTACGAACCTTATTTGATCGTTCGGATGCGTAAAGAAACAACTGCGTTAGACATCTTCGCTGATGGACAAAGATGCTTAAGAAGAATGCAGTTGTCTATTAAATTTTGATATACCACATTTGTTAGGTTAAATTTTATTTATACATGAATTTCAGATCTGCTCTATTGTTTGTCATTGAAGCTCTAAGTGTTGTCCGTTGCCGAATGGTTACGGTCCTTAACATAAAAACGCTGAAAGTTCGAGACTCACCAGCGACTTTGAAGCTTGTATGTGTGGAAGCTATCCAGGTTCAACTCAGGCCCGTTCGTGCCTGAAATAATGCCAGAAGGGGCTTTTGAGGTCTTCTTCCATCAGTAAAACTGGAAAAATCGTCGTAAAATGACCTATACTCTGCTGGTACGACGTAAAATCAAACCAAAAATGATAAGCTCATTTAAAAATGATAAGCAAATAAGGATCGGTCGCAAAATTATAAAAGCTGTATGGACACTTGATTTAGAAAATATCGTCTTTTTACCATTTTCCATCTTATATTTACGTAAGAGAGTGTCAGAGATCCCCGATTTATAGTACAGAACCAGTGTCGGTTGGAATATCTTAGTTAACACACTTAACTGTTACAGGTATTATGTCAAAACACTAACTGTTACACAATATTAGTACATGTACTTAGTAACATGTTTAAGTTGACTTTTTAATCCGAGACGAAATAAGACTCCGCTCCAAAAATCTGAATATACAAATCTATGCAATTTCATCGTTTCATCAAGTCATGCTATTTTCTTTTGTTGTGTAAAATGATGAAATTTAGACGATTTCTTGAGTTTCATTAAATCTATGTGATGGGGGAATTATTAAGGTTTATTCTTACAATATATTTGTTGTAAAATATTTCTTTAATATAGTTACGAAAGCGTTTTAGATTTATGTCACATTATATAGTTGATATTCATATTTCATTTTTACATATATCAATTGGCCCAGTTAACATAGTAAACATATTTTTGAGTCATCAATAAGAAATGTTAAACTTATATCCCACGGGATTATAAGCTAAATTTCTCCGTACTGTTTAGTTATGTATGCATCGTTTAGTAATGCATGCATCATTTAGTTATGCATGCATCAATTAGTTATGCATACATTATTTTACTGTTGACCACTTTATGCTAAAATAGTTTTGCTTGTGATCTGACACGAGATACTGACCAAAATATAAAACATAATGTGTTGATACTGTACTGTTAGGTGACATAGAGGTGACATTGGAGACATATTCATTAATCAGCCGCTCCATGACAAAACCAACATAGTGCGTTTGCGACCAGCATGGATCCAGACCAGCCTGCGCATCCGCGTAGTCTGATCATGATATATGCTGTTCGCTTACAAACCTTATAACAAGTAGAGAAACTGATAGCGAATAGCATGGATCCTGATCAGACTGCGCGGATGCGCAGGCTGGTATGGATCCATGCTGGTCGCAACGCATTATTTTGGGTTTTGTCATGGCGCGGCTCATTTATTTTTACTACAAAGTGTGGACCTGTTGACTATCAACTTTTAGGGTTAGTCGATTGTTAATACTTGTTCACCTAATAGTTTAATATGTTCCCTCTGTGACACAATTTTCCCGACGATTTTTGTAATCGAGTTGTTTTAATTAAGTTTGATGAAGTGATTGCATCTAGAATAAAATGTAGCAAACTAATATCAAATACCTTTTTAATCAAGTTCTTTGCTAGTTTTTTTTAAACAAGTTCTATGCTAGTTCTGTATTTGCATTACAAAATTATTGACTGTTGCTAACTTATTTTACTCTTTTACTTGAATTTAAGCTACTATGTCGGAGTTTCTTTTTAAAAACTGCTGTGTTGACATTTTTTGCACCTAAGAACTTCCTAATGTAAGCTAATTTTAAATGGAACTGTTCGATGTTTTAGCAGTTTCCCTCATATCTTCTGTCAAGTTCCGTGACATATCAACATGTACTTAAACGATATATTACTAGTATTGTATTGAGATATGCAGTCATGCATGCATTTATGTTGTTAATGCATGGTTGTTTTTTATCACCCTTTCAGTTTTTTTTTCTTCTTATCAGTATTCTATTGGGAAATTAAATTCTGATTGAAATAAAGAAAATTGTAAATGTTTAAAATGAGATGATGAAGAAGGTTGTTCATGAATAGTTTATGTTTTGAGTTGTACTTAAATTTTGCAAACTAGACCCCGTGTTTGACAAGGTAGGTTATAGTACAAATGTATTTTCATTTACAAATGTATTTTTTTTTTTTTTTTTGGTAAATTGAAAAAGTCGATAAAACTGGTATACTATTGTCAGTTATAAAGATTTAATGACAGGTTATATGGTCTAGTATATACGGTTCTATGATTATATGACCCGAGCGGCTTAGTTATAGATAGTTTTATTCTGGTAAAAAAAAAATGTCATAAAACAACTACAAATTCAATGTCAACATCAAGAGATACATGTAAACATGAAAGTGCATGTGTTGATGCCATATATTCAATACCAAGGATGACACAAAAAGAAGGCATAAGCCGACTTATTTTCATTGTGGTCCTTAGAATTGATCATATGACACCAGAAAGGCAAAATATTTACTAATTATTAAGTATTGCACATAAATTATTCAATTACAATTTCTTATATCAATTATTGCACATAAGTATTTCCATCACAGAATTTATCACACATGTATTATAATCATAATTATTTATGACGAGGGTCATATAAACAACCTTTTATATTCGGTCATATATCCTGCCAAAAGCTTTTTAATGATTTAATAATACAGTACAATTACATTATTCAGGAAAATCGAAACTTTATTTGTTAATTTTACATTAGTCGTGTATATAGATTATAAACACTTCACGATTATCCAATGAAAATCAACTTTACAAACGTGCAGTATTATTATTATAAAGTGAGACTAGTTAGATAATTGTTTAATACATGATTGTTAGAGAAGATTTTTACAACCTGCTGGATTAATTTATTTTGTTATTCGTTTAATTAGTATTGCACTACCGTGATTTGATTAATAAACTATCCCTTTCAGTCAATATGATAATTTTAAATTTAAGACAGTATCCATATAGGATCAGCCAAACTATTCCTAGAGAGCAGAGCAAGAAGAAATTCGCCATTTTAATATTATAACTTGTAATCAACTATAAATAAATTATATATTGTAATTAACTGCCTAATGATTTGATTTCCCTTTCTGTAAAGCGTATTAATGTATATATGAGCCGCGTCACAACTAAACCAACATAGTGGGTTTGCGACCAGCATGGATCCAGACCAGCCTGCGCATCCGCGCAGTCTGATCAGGATCCATGCTGTTCGCTTACAAACTCTATAACAAGAAGAGAAACTGATAGCGAACAGCATGGATCCTGATCAGACTGGGCGGATGCGCAGGCTGGTCTGGATTCATACTGGTCGCAGACCCATTATGTTGGTTTTGTCATGACGCGGCTCAATTATGTCCTTGTTCGTCGATACGTCCAAATATTTTTGTTCACCCCCCCCCCCCCCCTTACATTGATTATGATAACTGAGATAAAAGGAATCACTTTTATATTCACTCATTTCTCATAATCAGAAGTCATTGTTATTTTACGTATCTTTTAATAAAGCAGTTAGTAAAAGTGACGAAATTGCATAATTTGTTTTTTGATAAGTAGATGTAGATCTCTAAATTGTTCACATTTATAAGTTGTTATTTGTTTGTTGTTTTTTTTCTCAAATATTAGGGAAATCGTCATGTTTCTGTTCTAGGTAACTAGTATGTTTTCATGCTGTGAAAGTTTTAAGTTATATGTTAATTTCGTTAAACACTGATTTGGATAAAACTTGAAGAGAAAGAAACAAAATTTATGTTGTTTTTATTTATGTTTGTTTTATTTTCTTTTTCAAATATTAACGACTATATAATTGGACGATTGCATTACATATTTAGCGGACGGGCAATTTTTATGCATGTGTGCACATTTTAAAAATGGACACATGTTAGATTTAACTCGAATACAAAAGTATAAATTATTCTGAATAAATGCACAATAATTTCCATAAATATTCTGTCAAATAACTGTTGTCGTATACATTTATTTCACTGTGTTCAGACTATTCCATTTGTAATGTGATTTTCTGTGACCTTCTTCTCGTTCTTATGAGCAATTTTATCACTCAGATCAGCGTTCATTGTTTCCGGAAGTCCAAACGTTCCAATGACACAGACCACCGATACTCCCCCGCATACATAGTAGAGTAAGCCGGGTATATACGCATCCTTAAAGATCATTGTTTCAATACAAATACAAATGTACATAAAAGGCAAAGGGTTTCCGACTGAATCCGCTCTAGGAGAACTGCACGGGCACGACGTTAGCGTTTATTATTTCAATAAGCTATTTTTAAGTCTTTTTGTAGGCTAACTAGACCGCTTCTTCACAATGTTACAAGTATGTTTTACTACGAAATAGTATGTGGATTTATATCAGATAAAATGCAAATGTGACATCAAACAAAAAAGTTTTACGGTACTCAAAACACGAAACTGGTTCTTTTAGATTCACTTTGACCGAATTATTTAACTGTTTATATGTTCGTGCAATATTAAAAATATTTAAACTACGTGTCGGTTGACGATGTAATTAAGTATATCAACCAATGAAGAAATGTTCACACTTACCAAGTAAACTAACTGGGGCCCAATCATAGCACCAATCCTACCCATCACACTAAGGGAGCCGAATCCAATATTTCTACAAGAAAACCACAAACTTTGATCAAATGATATAACTACACTCCTGGCAATGAATTTGATAAATATTATAATACTGCACGTATATAAACGCTGTTTGCAATTTAACCCTCGCCTAGCGGCTCGGGTTATATTTAAAAACTGCCGTTTATATAGGACCATATAACCTGTCAACAATCTTTATAACTAATAATATACATGTACATAAAAAGGAATCGAAAGGGAGACCATGATAAAAAAAAACATGGCTAACTAAACACAGAACATTCTCCATAGTGAACGTTTAAGAACTCTACACAATGTCATACATTAATCATTAGTGTGCTTAGATACATATATACCTATATATACATGTATTTTGCAATGAGCTACAAAACAACCTGTCCCCTTTACGTCGAACAACGATCTATGTAAACACAATATATCCTTGGTAACTATACTTCTCAGAATGGAAACATGTCACAGAAGGTGTAACACCGCTATAGATGGTTATTTTTGCTTTCTTGCCTTCTGTATGTAACACAGTTTTGCTCTTTTGCTTATGGTCTTTCACAGGTGTTAGGAAAATGACGTTTATAGTTTAATCCATGGAAGGGTATAATACATGTTTGTTAAACTAAGAGCACAGTCTGGAATCATTCGGGACTGCCTCGGCTATTATCTATAATATCCGAAGACTGACGGAAAGGGCCGAGTAGTTGCGATTGAGTCTGGAATTTGCTGAACACAAAAATGAGGCATAGAACTATGAAAAATGGCTGTGTAATAAAAAAAACAAAAAAGATAAAAAGTTCGAACCCACCTGACAACGGTTGGATACAGCTCAATGGTCATCGTCTGTACAGGACCCCAGGCTGTCGTGATTCCAATATTTGCTAATAGGGCGAATCCGTTAGTGAGAGCATCTCGATTCGGTGCATCTTAAACCCATAAAAAATGCATTGTAAACAGTATGCAAGAATATCTTACTAGAATATTTAGTTTAATCTACCAGCGTACCATATCGAGAAATACAGCTAAAGATCTGTTTTAATTGACTACGAATCTCGCTGTACAAATACATTGTTTTAAAGAAAATAACCTTTAAAATGTTGCCATGCATTCTGTATGCCTCCAGATAAGCCAAAATATTTCAAGAAAATCAAACTTGAGGAAAAATATACTAAATTTTAAGAAAGGTAAAAATATTGAACTTATAATTTACATGTAAAGTGCGATTTATGACTGGTCTTAAAGTATTATCACTATATTTCTACTGCATAACTAACACAGTAAGAGCTTCTTTTGCATAATTGACATCTTTTTGGTAATTTACGTTTGCAGAGTGTAACCTAACATCTTTGTTCACTTTACAATAACTTACTTTTAGATATATACAACAAATTCAATGAAAATTAACCATTTTGTTTTAAGTCGACACTCTCTAAACTTCGAAACCATATACGATAGAATACATAACATAACCGAAATAAGTTTGTAGTACAGCTATAACAAAGTCCCTGTATTACTTGAGACAAGAAAAATAATATGATTAAATGACATGTCAACATACCAATTGTTTGCACTATTCCGACAATGAAGCCGCTAATACCAACAGTTGTATAACACAGCATGGCCGTGAGTCTCCGCCCGAACCTTTATTGATATCAAAATAAAATTATTCAATTTGGTAAAAGCAATAATCATAATAAAATACACCGTGTGCTGAGGCTATCTAGTAAGCTTACAGAAACTTGGTGGTTCTCCCATATATCTTTGAAATAGTCGACATATGTGTGCACAAATGTTTCAGCTATGCAAATGTATTTAACATTTCCACATTTATTCCTGTTTCGATACGTTAATTATAGTTAAGACAGCACATCTAGTTTTTGATGCGGTACGATTTAGAGCACGTCCCTAACGTGATAAATGCATCAAGCTTGTTCATCACTAAGATCATATTCGTTCTGCGATGTTGACCAATATTATACTGCCCAATTAACTCATCTCTTGATTGTTTCATGCTGACTAATTTGGAGAAGTTCCTTTAATGTTCAGGAGATTTCAATTATGAGATTTTGATAACAAAAAATACAAGAATTAGGCTATCAGAAGTATAGAGCATGGTCAGGCAACACGGATGTGCACGCTAGCCTGGCTTTATCTTGATGACAAAGGCTGATCACTTCCGGTTCTAACAGGTTAAAGGTCAATATTGATACCTGTTTTGAAGCCAAAGAGCAATTCCTTTTGACGGTATACCGACAAGATTAAAGAGAAAGAAGTTGAAGAAAATGTTCCCTGACAAAGCCTGGATTCCATATTTGATGCCATAAGACACCAAGCCCAAACCCATCCTGAAATAAGGAAAACATTCTTTTTTAATCAAGTTGTTCAATGATAGTTGCAGTTCGTTATGGTACGTTATACTTGTGTTATGTTTTAATTAGTGCACATACAGAGAATTGACCTAACACGAGCATCCGAGTTCTCTAACTACATAACAGTAACATAACATCTTAATAAGATTATATTGAATTCTACAATAGGAAATAAAAAATATTTTAACGCATTACCGTAGAACTCAAGATATAAAAATCAAGAAGAAAACAAATACTTGACATCATGGCAGAACGTGTTCTTATTAGACTTTTGCAGCTTACTCCGATGCGGACAGCGGTCAATGGACTACTGATAATTTTCAGGGGTTTTCTCAAAATAATAATACTGCACATACTGGGATTCTACATATTACCTTTTTTTTTTTTTTTTTTTTTTTTTTTTTTTTTTTCGCTGTAACTTTTATTTAAAATAATAAAAAAGAATGGAACTTAACCCAAATAATTTTGGGTTCTTAATACACGTAAACATTCCTTTATCAAACATGAAATTAAACATTTGACCGTAGAAATGTGTCTTTAAAGTAGGACATTATAAGAGGAAAAAATCGTGTAGACAACTCAATTTACCGGACATTTGGTTCATTTTTTTTTAAAGTCGTGAATTGAAATTAATCTTTAAATAATCAGCAAGGAAACTACGACTATTGAATGGCAAGGTTAAGATACTGGACAAACCCAGTATGTCACTAAAAAAGATATGGCAGCCATGCTTGTTACGAAGAGGCCAATATAGGGGTGCAATTGAACACTATTAACTCAATAAACGTATTGATTCTTCATGACCCTTAAATGTATGAAACATTTTGATATTAAAATGGAATTCTGTTCTTTGTCATACATGTCATCATGTCTCATGTTGCAAAAGTCATAAAATCTTTTTTATTTACATATCATGTAGAGTTTCCTCCCATGGGCGTAACTCATTTCCTTATATGTTTTTTTAATTTGCTTTTCTTTGTAAAAGACAACAATGAGATACTGTTAGGACTAAATAGTAAATTTAAAATTACTTTTTATCATTAAAATATGTTACGATTGTCTCCTAAGGTAACGTTGAGAAGAATAAAATGTAAAACCTATATAAAAAACCCATTAAGGGCCTCCATATTCGGGCCTGCGCAGAACAGATTATTCCCCCGCATGACCAGGTCATGAAGTAACTAGTAAACAAAATGGCATGTAAGTAAATAAAGAATGGTATCAACAATATTTATCTAAGAGTGGTTTTGTTGTTATTTACTTTGAAATAGAATGTGTGTGTACGATTCAGACTGTATGATTTTTTAATTGAATCAAAAAATAAAGCACTATTCGGCAGGAACAGCTTTTGTCTGGTAAACTGATTGTCCGGCCAGTATAGATGAGAAAGTCCGATGTTCTGAACTTTGACTCTTTTCAGTTTACAACCATTTTGAGAAATTCCCCGCAACATTTGTTCGTTATCAGATGTCCACTGTCCGTGTCAGAGTAAGCTGCAAAACTCTATTTGGCAGAAATCGATAACAATCAAGAAAACATCTACTTTATATTGACAACAAACTTACCAATTAAATATTGAGAGGACAGTGTTTCGAATAAGAGCTTTTGATCTAAACAAGTCAACAACGGTGTATTTCCGGTCTTTTTTCACTTCCGGTTTCTCCATAAGATGGCCGACATCCACCTTATGGCGACGATTATATTTGGCGACTTTGTTGATCACTTCCAGCGCTTTCTCAGTCTTGTCGTGACCGATATACCATCGGAAGCTTTCGGGAATGATACTGCAGTAAAATAAATACACTTGATATTGTCTGAATACATCTTCAAAATAAAAACTTGTGAAAATTCGATAATCATCGACAAACCCAGTGCCTAGCAGTCCGATGAACCTTATCAAAAGACCCCGTACAGTAAAGGAGATGTTTAAGTGTCATAGAGGCTTCTTATGGAGTTATATTAAATGAATACAAACGGATATTGAAATACCGTAATACGTTAAACAGACTGTAGATACCACTATCGAAGTCAATCTTTCTTGTCAGTTCTTGGAAAACCGGACACAATGTACATTTTGTTCCTTGTTTCTATGGTTTCACACAATCATCGCGCAGATTGTTTTGTAAAGAAAGAAAACAACTTACAACCATGCAAGCAAGCATGGAATACCCATGATGCTGATAAGAAGCTGCATGTATCTCCAGTCCTGTAAAAGCCATGCACATAAAGCAAACACACAGCCTTCTATTGGCCATGACGGGAACCCGACAATCCAAACCCGCCATTTTGCTAGCGAGAATTCGGACAACAAACTGTACTGTGTCGTCAGAAAAAATCCTGCCCCCATGCCAACGAAAATTCTTGCGACTGCAAACATGACCCAGTTTACTGACAAGAATCCGACAAGGTTGAAAACTATTATTAGGACCATGGATGTGAAGAATGGGGGTTTCCTACCCACCAAGTCCGCTAATTGTCCAGCCATGATGTTTCCGGCGAGCAGTCCCGCTACTTGAAGCGTCATTATTAGACTTGGGATATAGTCGAGTTCGCATACTAATCCAAACTGGAAAAATATTTGAGCCGCGTCACGACAAAACCAACATAATGGGTTTGCGACCAGCATGGATCCAGACCAGCCTGCGCATCCGCGCAGTCTGATCAGGATCCATGCTGTTCGCTATCAGTTTCTCTACTTGTTATAGTGTTTGTAAGCGAACAGCATGGGTCCTGATCAGACTGCGCGGATGCGCAGGCTGGTCTGGATCCATGCTGGTCGCAAACGCACTATGTTGGTTTTGTCGTGACGCGGCTCATTTGTGTAAACTTTATTGAATTATATATAGATCCAATCTGACTGAAGTTCAGACCTTCTTATGTTTAGAAAATAGATATCAATTTTGAGTCCTATGCTATAAAACTAACTTTAGGACTAAATGTACTTGCACGTACATTTTTGCAGACCTTTCAATAATCGTCATATATTTTTTGAATTTAGACTTTGTATCAATTCACTCATCCTAGGAAGTTGAGAAATGCAATAAAATGCATGCTGTTTGACAATGTTTAAATGCATTGCTAATCGGAAAATGAAGATGTAACATAGTGGTAAAAGTTATTTGAAAAGCAAAATTGTTTCTGATTTTGGCTCAGACTTTGAACTTTCTACAAAGCGGAACTCTGATGACGTCAGTTGCACAAAGAGTTGAAAAAAAAATGCAACCTACCTCACTGACAACTGTTTTAAGATGGCCCTCAAAAACGAAATTTGAACATTTCGTGTCATTGAGAATGGTACACGCTTTATATGGGCATATGTTTATCTCAGACCCATTGTGCACAGTCTGGCACGAGGAACTGTTGTTTAGAACGATAGTGTCTGTACAACGCCATGGCGGAGTTGCCGAGATAATAACAGTTGAAAGAGTACTGAAGCAGACGATTGATTTAATCACGTGCACAATAACGCTCATACGGATTTGATAACGCCCACATCCTCCAAGCTCCTCTATGATCTTGTCCGGTTTAGCTGGAGCATCCATCTCAATTTTGAATGTCACGTGATACACGCAGCTGATATTCTGTTCCTTGCAATATAGTTACATTGTTTTGCAAAGTATGTTGGGTTTTTTCCCATCAAAATATGAGTATTATATTTCATGAATGATTAAATAAAAATATCCATCCCCTATCCTTTACATTGCATTCATCCCTCAGTTGTAAAGCCACATCCAATAATTCATTCATTTAAAATTTATTTATTTATCTATTTATTTATCTATTTATTTATCTATTTATATATATTTATCGAAAAAGAGTAACACTATAAAATATGTATACAGAAAAAATATAAAACAAGAGCTTACCTTACAACTGATCCTTTTGTCTTGATAAAAAATTCTGAACCTGACATAATTAACTGTTCCTTTTCAACATATACTATCTTCATTTGTACATCACTTAAAGAGTGAGAAATTCACCGGCATGACCAAATTTAAATTTACTTATTCAAAAGCATAATAGTTGATTATAAATCTTACTTTTTATGAATAGATTACACCATTGTCTAGTTTAGTTTCGCTGCATTAACTTCATCTTAAATGAATGCTCCTAACCTTTGGAGAAATGATATCATGGGGGTCCAATCGGTAGGCCTGATACAATACTATATATATTCTGTTTTAAAGATGTAGCAGATCCTTACACTGTTGAAAATACGATCTGGGTTCACTAACAATTATCATCATTATATCGTCATCATCATCATCATCATCATCATCATCATCGTAATCATCATCATCAACAAAAACAACAGTTATAACTCGAAGTCACGTCATATTGCATTATTTGATTCAGAATAACTTTCAGACAAATATTCTAGCTAAATAATGAATGCCGTTATACAATTTCCATTTAGAAATAAGTTCACAATAAATGAGAATCATAATTTTTGACATGTGCACACTTTTTAGTCCAAAAGTTTATCCGAAAAGGGGTAGTTTTTTTGACTTTTGATCCCAGGTTCAACCCAAAAAAAGACACCGTTGGGCTAAAAGATGATATTTTTTTATAGAAACTTTCGGTGCCCCTTAGATTTGCAGGCCATTGAAATCTAGAGTTACTTTAAACAGTTCGCTGTAAATTTGAATGTAAATGCGGCATATCGATGGTAACGAACGTGTTGCGTAGAAAAAAAAAGACGCTGTTGAACAATACCCAAACGGTAACGTTAAGAACCATATACGTACAACTCAACTTTGAAATGCACAAATTAAAGCAAATTGATGTTATTATTATTATTCTTCTTATTATTATTATCATTAGTAGTAGTAGTAGTAGTAGTAGTAGTAGTAGTAGTAGTAGCAGTAGCAGTAGCAGTAGCAGTAGCAGTAGCAGTAGCAGTAGCAGTAGCAGTAGCAGTAATTATTATTATTATTAATATTATTATTCTTATTATTATTATCATTAGTAGTAGTAGTACTAGTAGTAGTAGTAGCAGTAGCAGTAGTAGTAGCAGTAGCAGTAGCAGTAGCAGTAGCAGTAGCAGTAGCAGTAGCAGTAGTAGTAATTATTATTATTATTATTATTATTATTATTATTACGTAGGGCCTACACTGCGTAAATTTGTACTATTTCTAAAACTTATTAATCGATATCAATCAACTTTGCAACTTCAATAGCATAATAATTTTGCATTATACTCTTAACTTATTATTGCATTTTGATCATTTCAAATGGACTTATCGACAATGAAAATTCACTGTTGAGTTCACAATATGCACAATATCTACTAGCAAATCCAAATAAAAAGAAGTGTCATTACAATGGGCACGTCGTCTTATTACCAAGAGCAGACTGGGCATCATTATTTTACAGATGAATCATTTTTCAACCTGTATGAAAATGATGTTCGCAACACGCCTCCAGATTAATGTTAATTTTCATTAAAATTTTGGAAATGTATTTAAAAGTTAAATAATGTTAGGTGATCAAATAAAGGAATTAGCATATTGCAATCGCCCCTTACAATCCACGAAAATTACCAAAAAAGTGGTCAAGATATGCAAAAACAGCCCTTATACTGCGTTAGTAACGCAGTAGAAATAGGGTGATAAAATACTGCAAAATCGGTGTTAATTAAATCCGCACATGTAAAATATGAATTGGATCTTGAATGTTTTACCGTTCTTAAAAGTTTAGTGCATTTTTCTCAATATTGATTTTCCTGAAATATTTGGCTCATCTGGAGGCGTGCAGCTTTAAAAGTTCAGAGTGACTGTATTGTATAGAAGGCCATAGATTTTGCGTCGAATCCGTTGTGATTTTGGGAGGGATCGCTATGACGATACAACCAACGGAATACACCTCACACATTAAAAGCGTAGCATGCGGCTGATGCAGGATGGAGCACCTTGTCACAGAGCACCGTGAGATATCATGGCATTGTTGGCCAACCATCAGATCGACGTGATACCATGGACCGCTTGATGTCTGGATCTTAATCCATTTAAACATATTTGGGATATTTTGAGCAATATAGCATTTAAAAATTTGAACTGAAACGTGAGAAAGTGAGTGTTACACCATCTATTGAGATTTAAATGATGACATACTGTTTTCAAAATGGTCTACTTATGATCCACGTCTTGACAATTAAATCTGATTTTACTTGATATGCTGTTGTTTCCTTGTGTCATATAGTAGAAAATTCTTACATGTTACATCTTATGACAATTTGTTTTACTGTAAGTTCATTGTTTGTTTGCCTTCTTGTTTCAGAGCGTTAAAATATGTGAACTAAGGGGAGCTCAGTATTCATTTTAACATTTTAAGGGGACAAACTTTATCGCATGATTTGAATCTTATTTTTTATTTTGATTATCTATTTATTTATTTTATTATAATTTTTTGTTCGCCAGTGTTATCAATTTGATCCCATTATGAACTTAGACTGCTTCGAAGAAAGTGTAGGCCCTGCATAATCAATATCACATAAATGTGTACGCAGTATCTTGATTTTTTGAGAGTGTACGCAGTATCGTAATGTCTATTTCCTGTAAATAGTTCGTTTTAAGACATTTTTCGTAACTTGTTACAAATGAAATATTAGAAAGATTGAAAATATATTTATGAAATAGATTCTACATCAAATAAACTAACTCCCAGTTGTTTCAAACTTTTAGTTTAATCGGCAATTTCTCAATTTCTGTAACATTTCAACGCTTGGTGTACGCAGTATCCAGAATCAAAATCGAATATAACTCAAAATACTGACGAGAAAGGGAAGACCTGTGTCAAGGCATTTTGAATATTAAAACTAGAAGTAAGGACATCTTCTTTGCAAAAGAAATTAAATTCAAATCTATTCTGATTGTTTTACAGGACTCGTTTTTGTTTAAAATACTTGTTGAAAAAGTGTTCGCGGTATCAGAATTTTGAGGCTACGCGCGCATTTTATGTAAAGCAAAAATTAAATTTAAAGAAAAGAAATGATTTTAAAAACGCAATTCTGTCACAGTAATGTGTATGTCTATCCATATACAGAAAGTTTAAATTGAATTCTGTCAAAGTGGACTTTGAACGTAATGTGTGATTAGAATGTGCAATATTATGATATTGATCTTCTGTCTTGAAAGTGTCAATTTAAAATTGTTTGAGACATTCAAAAATTTTGAACTTTGAACTTTGAACTTTGAACTTTGAACTTTTATTTCAAATTCTAGGCCTCTGAGAGGCATCAGAACACAACATATTAAACATGAACAAATGACGTAATACAAATTTGCTATATAACATGAACAAATGACATGATACAGATTTGCTATGACTAGATAAACAGAAAATTATCATATCAGACTAAATTTGAGAAATATCAGACACTGAGCCATTTCTAACACATAGGTGATAAAAATACATGTTAGCCTTAAGAAACATAATATTATACTACACAATACTATTTACTATCAAAATGTATACATATATTACACAACCTCGTTTATCATTTGAAAACATGCATTACTTTCCTGCAATAAACAGCAAGTTTAACAATTCTTTGTTCACTTATGGCCAAATTTGGCATAGTGGACTAATTCGCTCTTGAAATGTATATCTATAACTCTACATTTACTACTTTGCCTTAGATTTAAGTTGCCTAAAATGCGCAACTATATATTTTAATAATTACTATAATTACATCTTTATCTTTTATTGGATCATAACTAGAGTAGAGATAAAAGAGTGGTCCGATGTTTGCTTACAGTTTAGGTAGAAATATAGATGCGTCACGAAGAGCCGACAATGAATCATGTATGTATTCGTGTGTAAATAAATATCATGACGTCATAACATGGCTGTCTTAATTTTTCGGAGGAGGATGTGAAACAGAACTATTTTGTAAATTTCAACATTACATAGATATCCTGATAGTTATTATCAAATATATGAATTAAAGGTAATATTCTTTATCGATACTTTATTTTTCACTCGTGTAGTACGTTAGTATTTGCCGTAAGCGGAAACGTTTGCGAAAGTAAAATAATCTAAAGTTAACTCATCACTGACATCAGTCATCTATTCAACAGTTCAATTTATCATCGATATTTTGTCAAAAGTGGTCAAGGGTCTTCTAATTAGAGTACTGGATGTCACAGAAGTCATCTTTGGAATTGTTTAAATGAGAGGAGTTTTGTGTTCCACTCAATCCATTGTATAAAATTTATTATTATTTATTTTAATAATTTGCAGGTTAACTGAATAATACTTAAAAGACTATATCTATAAGACATCTATGTTAGTGAAGTTGTGTCATTGGCTGCTAGGGTGACAACTAAGGTCCCCACGGTTACACATTTAAACATATTAGTTTCAATTTTCATTCGCAAACGTTTACAGTATATTTTATTGTTTAAACAAAATGACCATACAGTGTATTGTAATCGTTGCCGGTAATCATGAATTCTATCAATTCTAATTGATTTATTCCAAAGTAGAAAACGGAAAATGGGTGTTTACAAACCTCCACACAGCATCACTGTGCAATAATCGCTCATGAAATATTACATTTTTGGTTAAGTTCATTTTCCTTTGATGTTACTAAAGAGTGAAATGGGGATAAAATGCAGAAATGTGTGCCAACTCCCTTGCGATGAGCCTTGAACATAATTTTTTTGTACAATTATTGAATGGAAAGTAAGTCATCATTTGGCAACTCAGATACATGGTGTAGCATGGTATATAGAAGTATCACCATTTAAACTGTATCTTTCAGTTTTTACTAATCGTGTAAACGTTTACAAAAAAATGTAAATAAGGGGGCCTTAGTGACAACTGCATGTACAGAAGTTATAGTTCCTTGCCAAAGTGATATATAGCAACTAGTAATGGGTAACTGCTTGACAGCCTGCCAAGGAAAACTGCATTCTGGTTATTTCAATGTGGCTTACGGCTTACTGCTGTGGTCTGGAGGTTTATCTACCAAAACCACCACCACGACCAATTATGTCAAACCCCTCATGGTGTTTCCAATCTAATACAATGCTACTAAAGCTAATTACTGTGACATGAAATGTAATATATGCAACTATCTCCCACTGTCCCAATTAGGTGTCATGAGAGTGAAATCATCACCATTTGAAATATATGCTGTTCCACACCATACGTTTTTGCAGCAAGTTGGAAACAACTGCAATTGTAATTAATTTAATGTCTAGGAATACACGGTCTGTTTCAACTTAATACAAGTTCTTCATTTTGCATTCTTAAATCTCCATAGATCTCCATGTATTAAAATTTAAGCTATAAATATGCAATGATTTAGAACTGTGATTGAAAAACACATGGAGATATCAATTATATTTTAACAGTTTTATTTTTTGTTACAGGTCTACTTTATACATAACACTTATAAGGATTGATTTGTTAAAACAATAATCATGGCAAGTTACGGTAGAGGTTCGTTTGACCAGTTTTCATCTTATCAAGATACTGGATCTTCAGGTAATTAAAATTTTATTGTTTAAACCTATTGGTATAAGGAAACATGTTTGTGTCCGCCCCCCTGTATAGCACAAAATCAAAACCACACTGTGTTTGACAGCAAATATTTTAACTTTTATGTTATTGACTGAGGTAGTGAACCACTTAAATTGTCCTTTCATGACAGATAATTAAAATTTTAACATCTGTTGCACTTTTCAGTATTACTTAATGTTGGCGTTAGTAGAATATTCTACCATTAGAATAGACATTATCTGGAACTCGGCAAATGTGGGTTTTTCCTAGCTAGGTACACTCTTTTACTGTTTCTACCCATCACAATAGATTAGTCAACCTGTTGCGCTTATTTTCGAAGCTGAAACTGTAAAAGTTTGTTTGTACCTACCGATTATCTGGGGGGAAAACCCAAATATTCTTACTTCCGGAGTAAGTCTATTAGATTTTGAAATGATTAACACAAAAGAAATAATTTAAGTAAAAACATCTATTAAAAATAATAGGTAGTTAAAACTAAAGGGATGTCTCGTTCAGTTGATCATACATTTTTACAACATTTATGAAAAGATAATATTTTATTAATATAATTAACAAAAAAAGTTTATGGGTTCATACCTAGTGTTTATTTAATAATTCCATGATTTGTTTTGGATTATAAAAACAAAATTAACTGTACAGTTGTTGTTTTGTTGTTTTCACAGGTGGAAATGATAGTACCAGATTGGCACAGTCTGTTGGAAACAATATACAGAAAATATCTCAAAATGGTATAACATAGCTTTACTGTTGTTTATTTATGTTTCACAAAGGCTTTTATGTGTATAATATAGGATTTTAGAAGAGTCATACATGTTTCACATATTATCATACATGTTTCACATAAACATGTAGCTGTATGCCTAATACTAAAATACATAGTAGTATTTGTTGTAGTAAATATCATGTATTCATTTTATTCATAGTTCTTTACTGGTCTTTTAATTATTTTTTTTCTTGAAAAATTTATTATTGAACTTTAGATTACTACTGAATCCTTTGAGTATGATTAAACATATAAAGATTTTAGATTTGTTAGCTTACTCAGGTTTATCTTGGAAACAGTTCAGTTATAGGGTTAACTTAGGGTTATGTGTAATTTAGTATGCAGTGTATTAGGTAACATAGAATATATATATAGGATCAAAGAAATTCTAAGAAACGTAGTATTTCTCTATTTATTTCAGTTAAACAGTTGGAGAAGCTTGTTCAGCAGATTGGAACACCTCAGGATTCTGAGGAAGTGAGAGACAGAGTGTAAGTATCTACGTGGTACTGAAGAGTCAAGACTAAAGATCCACTGTTTACAATTTTCATGCTAAACTTAAACTAAAAACCGAAGGGAAACAATATTGTTTAAATGGTTGTAACTCAAAATCCTCAACCCTGTATTTAAATTGCTAGTTTGATTAGAATAGTTGAGTACACTGTCCTCTGACAGCTCTTGTTTACAAATAACCATTGCATTTTGACTAATTGAAAAACGTTACAAGAATCAACTGTGAAACACATGTTCTTGTTAAACTAAGGAATCGCCCAGCTTCACAGTAATTATGTTTGAAATAATTATGTTTGGATTGAAAACATTAAGATGAATATTAAATTTATGTGACAGTTATCAATGTTAATTTGGTCCTTTCTGTTACAGTAAAAAACCCTTGAAAACCAGATCTCAAAGTAAACCAGAATCCTCCAGTGAACTGGACATCTCATCAGGGTCCCGGAGTTTTCCTTTTTCTATTTTTCATTGGATAAAAATCCACAACAAAAACCGGAAAATTGACATTTAAGAATGTCAGTGCCTTTAAATTCTCAGTAAAGAGAAAACTGGGGAATTTTTCCACCCGCCTTAAACCGGACACTTTGGGTGTGGTCCTGACTTAATGAGTTTTTTACTGTATTTAATTTACACACCATTCTGTAATTGAAATTTAAATGTTTTGTTTTTTCAGTCATCAGGTTGTACATTCCACCAATGCCATAGCTAAAGATACAAATAAAGACATGCAGACACTGGCACATCTACCAGCACCTGCTGATACCCAACAAGCGGTATAGTTACTTTTTACATTCTTCTAAATTTCAATAAGTACAGTGGAACTTTTTTTAGTGGAACTTCAAATTAGTTGATTTTCTCGATGTGTTGAAGTAAAAGGAAAGTCCCAATTTTTCCCCCTATATATTCCTTATAAAAACCTATATATGAGTCGAAATTTTATGTTTCGAATTTTTCAATGTGTGACTGTCGAAGTTGTTACGCAAGTCCCTTCAACTTTGTCTTACCGAAGTTGTACTGTATATTTTTTCAGGTTATTATATTTTAATGAGTTCAAATGCAAGAATGTTGTTATTCACAAGTTTAGTGTTATGAAAAATTATTAATATATTAAATAAATCTTAATGTTTCATGTATACATCAATTGATTTTATATTTATGTAACTTGTTGTGATTGCACATATGAAAACTAAATAAACACAATTGTTTTTATATGTATGAAGGCTGTCTTATGTAATCATGTCATTGCATTAAAATTAAGCAAGATTTACAGATCAATGTGGGAAGTGGACTTATCTATGATGTATATGATATTAAATGATTTTGTAGATGATGTTAACTGTAATGTGACTGTGGTATATGCAAGTGTGTAGCTGCATTTATATACAAGATAATGATTATAGTATATTATAATAAGGTAAAGCACACCTTTGACCTGTAGATTGTCTGATGCATATAATTAAAGGTTTATTGTATTAGTTAATGATGATATAATGAAGTCAGCTTTTCCTGAAACCACTACAAGATTAACATATATGATGTCAGTCATGGACAATACAATGAAATCAGCCTATCATGAAGCTAACAGTGAAATTATTAGTTATGTTTATAATTCTGAATATTTTAGCGGCAGTTAAAGATGCAGAAAGAACGTTTAACTGAACAATTTAGTGACATCCTAAAGAATTTCCAGACCATTCAGAGGACGGCAGCAGAAAAAGAACGCGCCAGTATTTCCCGAGCGAGAGCTGCGTCCAGTTCTAACTATGTAAGTATTTATTATGTTTTAATATAGGTAACTTGCATAGTTAAATGTTGTTACAATGTTTAGAAAGCTTTGCTAGTTAGTTTGTTGCTTGGAATGTTGTTGGTTTTTTGTATGTACATGTTTTTCCATTTATATATAAAAATATGCCAGCTAGATTTGCTTTTCTCCTTGTTAAAGGACAATGCATCCTTTTCAATTAATTAACAATGCATTAAAACATTTATTTTCAATAAAATATATTTTTTATGTCTGCACTCATTAAACTTTAGAGAAAAAAAGCATATATATAATGTAGGTACCTTTTCTGACAAACAAAAATTAACTATAACTAAATTTATGTAGAGTCAACATCGAGGCCCGTTAATAGATTTCTCGGTAAGTAGTTGTATGATCTTAGAGTTTCTAAATCTCTCCTGGAGTTTTGTTAAGGGAGTGCTTTATAGCTTCTAACTTTTGTTTATGCCACCACTTGCTGTTTCTTTTTACATTCCAAATTGTTTAAAATATATCTCCTACATAGTTCACTTTAATAACGATAGTTTATGGAAGAATGAATCACTATACCACTATACTGTGCAAATCAACCATGAACTTCAGATTCTAACATCAGGGCTCTTTTCACAGGTTGGGGAAGCAGCCCTGCCCTTAATTTTTGGGGAAAATAATAAGAAATATTTGCAAAAGGGGAAGAATAAACTTGATGTAAATTTAATTTTTTGGGAAAATTGCATGATTTTAAAGAAATTTTCTTTCCGGAAGAAGCCCTATAACGAGCCCTGCTATAGAAAGGTAAAAAAGCCCTGAACATGTTTATGACTGTATGATGCTATTCAGCTAGCTAATGAATGTTAGGTAATTTTACTTAGGTGCCCAACCATGCTTGAAAGGGCAACTGATGTTTTCCTTCCTCCCTTCAGTGAAGCTGAAGAGTCACCATTAATTATGACCGTTAAACTTTCAGTGTTGGTTAAGGCACAAACAAACAAAAATAAACACCCTTTTTAGCTCGACTATTCAAAGAATATGAGAGCTATTGTAGTCGCCCCGGCGTCGGCGTCAGCGTCCGCGTCGGCGTCTGCGTTGGTTAAAGTTTTTTGTAAAGTCAAATATCTCAATTATTACTTGAGATATTCAATTGAAACTTACAATACTTATTTATAGTAACAAGCTACATCAGATTGACAAGTTGGATAACTCTGCCTACAATATTGACAGAATTATGCCCCTTTTTAACTTAGAAATTTTGGTTAAAGTTTTTTGTAAAGTCAAATATCTCAATTATTACTTGAGATATTCAATTGAAACTTACAATACTTATTTATAGTAACAAGCTACATCAGATTGACAAGTTGGATAACTCTGCCTACAATATTGACAGAATTATGCCCCTTTTTAACTTAGAAATTTTGGTTAAAGTTTTTTGTAATGTCAAATATCTCAATTATTACTTGAGATATTCAATTGAAACTTACAAATACTTATTTATAGTAACAAGCTACATCAGATTGACAAGTTGGATAACTCTGCCTACAATATTGACAGAATTATGCCCCTTTTTAACTTAGAAATTTTTGGTTAAAGTTTTTTTGTAAAGTCAAATATCTCAATTATTGCTTGAGATATTCAATTGAAATTTAAAAATACTTTTTTTTATAGTAACAATGTACATCAGTTTGCAAAATTGCATAACTCTGCCTGCAATATTTGCAGAATTATTTGCCCCTTTGAAACTTAGAAATTTTGGTTAAAGGTTAAAGGTCTTCAAATATATTTACTTGAAACTTAACACATGCACAGCACTTAGGGTCATAATTGGAGGGTCATAATTGTATGTCACTGACCAAGTTCCATAACTCTATCTTGCATTAAGGCTGATTCATATCCCCTTTTCTACTTAGTCTCTTGGTTAATGTTTACATGCAAGTTTTACATATCTCAATAACTATTTAAGATATTTATTTAAAACTTCACATATGCATTTAGGGTCATAATTGTAGCTCACTGACAAAGATCCATAATTCTATCTTGCATTTAGGCTGATTTTTCTCCCCTTTTTCAACTTAGAAATTCATGGTAAAGTTTTGCTTGTAAGCTGTTATCTCAATAACTACTGAAGGGTTTGTGCCTTTTTTGGGACAATTTTATGCATTCATAATAATAAAGCAGTTATTTACTTGATAAAACATCTTAATAACAAGCCTTTGCACCTTTTCTGTCAAATTAATGTATTCATAGGTAATTAGTATTATTATACTCAATAAAACACCCTCGTGACATTACCTTCCAAATAGTCAAGCCAATACTGTATAATTAGACTCTCTCTAAGGCCTATAACATGAATTTATAAAAAAAAATTAGCCCTTTGTGAACTTAAAAAATTTAACATTATCAAGGCTCTTTTACTATCAAGCACTTAGAATAGTCGAGCGTGCTGTCCTACCGACAGCTCTTGTTAATATTCCATTTCGATGATTGACTGCAAAACTGCAGTAAATTATATGAAATAAAAAAGGACTTACAACAGTTTTGTGATCAGTCCTTGATTTAATGTTTTGTATTTTTAAACACTGTGTTTCGGAAATTGTTTATTTAAAAAAAAAATGATATCTTATAATTATATCAACAACTTAGTTTGCATGTTATAATACAAAGTTTAAGTATTTGTTTGGTGAAACTTTTCTTCTGTTAATTTTTGGCTTCTGAAAACTCCTAACTGAACCTTGAAAATTTAAAAAAAAAAAGGTTTCCACCATCAGCTTAGCTTTAAGGGCACCAGACAGATAAGATTTTCATCAAGCAGTTAAATTAGAAAGTTGCCGTACAAGCTGTACAGTGTATGTGATATTTAAAACAAAAAGTGAAAAGATTGTCCATATAAATTTAGACTTCTATATTGAAATTATGAATTAAACAGTTTATTGTAAACTGGCTTAATTCTGCATGGCAATGTGTTTACCTCCAACCTCAAATGAAACCTATTTTGTCTATGTTACAACTTTGATAATATAATAATATATCTGTGAAATGAATGTATCTCTAATGCCTGAATTTTAGACAACTTTTAAATTATTTAAAATAAGGTTATTCAACTTGTTGAGAATTGATATACATGTAATTTATGATACAATAATATATCATTCTATCTTTTTACTGCCTGCTTTTATTTTTGTTATCAGTTCTCATGATGTACTTCTTTTGAAGTATTTACTGTTATGCAGGGCAAAGTATTAACTGTTATGTAGGGCAAAGTATTTACTGTTATGCAGGGCAAAGTATTAACTGTTATGTAGGGCAAAGTATTTACTGTTATGCAGGGCAAAGTATTTACTGTTATGCAAGGCAAAGTATTTACTGTTATGCAGGGCAAAGTATTTACTGTTATGCAGGGGCAAAGTATTTACTGTTATGCAGGGCAAAGTATTTACTGTTGTGCAGGGCAAAGTATTTACTTTATGCAGGGCAAAGTATTTACTGTTATGCAGGGCATAAAAATGGTATATTTATTATTATTATTATTATTATTGTTATAATTATTATTATTATTATTGATTTATTATTATTATTTGGGATATTGCTTGTTTAGAAAGGTTATACAACAAAAGTCTGTGTGATAAACTTCATAAGGGGATGTTTAAATTTTCATAACTTATGTGTATATAATAACTGTCTTTTTCAAAGTTTATCAACAAGTGAACTTCTTGATAAAAGAGGGGTTTAGACCCCCTCAAAATGTTGGAGGTTGATAGACTGCATAAAACTGCATGCTGGGCTGGCTCTGGTAACAGTCAAATGGTTTGTTGCCACTCACACACAATATGTCAGGCTTGAGTTGGAGGAGAATCATTTATGTTTCCTTTTTTTGCTTGGCCAATATGGTTATCTCTCAGGTATTGAGGGTAAACAAAATCTAAACATTTACAAATTATGTTTTCAGTAAGCCACTTAAGATAAAATTAATTATTGTGCTTTAACTGATGAAAATAATTTTGAATAGTATAGAGAGAAATAAGGGCATTTCTGAAGTGCAAACTAAATTTATATGTACGTTGTTACCTTTGAAAAGTGAAAATAAACTTTCCTCCCTCCTTGTTTTGAATAACCGTCAACTTCTAATTGTAAAATATTTCCTTTTATTCATAATAATGAGTGTTGTACTGTGAATCAGGCGATCTGAATTCAATTCCCAGACAGTACAGGTCGCTTTGTGATTGATCATGAAATCCTTTCTACGGGCATTCACATTGTACCTTTGCTCTGTCATGTACAGAAGTTATCTGTTCCTTGCGAATGTGAAGGCAACTACATGTAGTACTGGTAAACTGCTTGACAGTCTGCCCAGGAACGATGCAGTGGCTAAACTTTCTTTGTGGCTTACTGCAATGATCCAGAGTGAAAACTACTGAGTGAAACTACGAACGCTACCGCCAAATAAAAATTATGTTAAATTGATCTTACAGTGATGTTTTTTCTTCTTCATATTTCACTCATACTTTATTGTTACCTGAATATTTGAGAGAAAAAAAAAATCTTTCTCTCAATGGATACAAATCATCAAAGCTATTCATTCCATAGAAACAAATATTCACCTTCTTTATCATATTATGGTGTAAGATGCATGCAAGTTCCTAGAGAAATACCAGGAAATCACCCTGGAAGGTTTTAATATACTCAGATTTCCCACAGGATTATTGTAAATTTTTATTGCAAGTGAATAATGTTTAAGTTTGATTTATCATAATTGCATTTAGATAATTCATTGAATAAAGAATAAATGATATAATTTTAAGTTGTTGAAATATTTAAATATTATTAGTACATAGTGTTGTAATTTAAATTATGCATGATTAAATGACCATACATGTACATGGTATTCTTTACATTAGTATTTAGAAACCTATGGGGCGCCCGTGGCCGAGTGGTTAAGGTTGTTGACTTCAAACCACTTGCCCCTCACCGCTGTGGGTTCGAATCCCGACAGGGACTTTGGATTCTTTCATGTGAGGAAGCTATCCAGCTAGCTTACGGAATGTCGGTGGTTCTACTCAGGTGCCCGTTCGTGCCTGAAATAATGCACGGAAGGGCACCTGAGGTCTTCCTCCACCAGTAAAGCTGGAACGTCGCGATATGACCTATACTGTGTCGATGTGACGTAAAACCCAAAACAAACAAACAAATTTAGAAACCTGATATACTTATAGGCTGGTTTATTTTCAAGTTATAGCACTTTATAAAGCACATGAGTAAGCAAATATTTTTAAATAAAATTATAATAATAATAATAATATCATAAAAATCAAGGCATAAAGCCCTTTGTGATAAGTAACCTAATTTTTCCAAAAAATCTTTAAAGTAAGATATTTTTAATGTAAGAAATATTTTATTTTTTTTATAATGCAGGTGAAACTTTGAATGTTGAATGTAAAACATAACAATATTGCCTATTTTTATCACCGAAATGCTGCCCTGTTTTGAAGGGACAACAGGAAATATCTGTATAATTTTACAAGTTATGGGTCATTTCTGGATGTAGCTCATACATTGTACCATAGGCTAGTTTAAATACACTTATTTTATTCATTTTACAACATTTTTTCTTTTAGAAGATTTTGTTAAGTTATCATAAAACATTACAAAAAGTATGGACTCAAGAGGACTCAAGAGGCGTTCTGCTTTATTTTACAGTTATAATATTATGTTGAAGAATGAAAAAAACAATTTCTGGTTAACAACTTACTATAACAAGTAAGTATACTGAGATAAAAAGAGATATTTTAAGATTTTAAAACACCCGTTTTGAGAGCCTTATGTAAAAAGAGGAATATCTAGCTTTCATCACAGTAAAAAAAGATACATTAATCATTGATGATATAAAAAAAGTTATAATTTTGTATTTTCAGTCTGGTTTTGGTGATGAGCCACAAGATGACCAGTTTTCTAAACAAGGGTAAGAATATAAACTATTGTAAATGTTAACATGAATAATAATTTGCCAATGTTATCAGTCATCACATCTGCTACATGTCTATAATAGACATGTACTGCTTCCAAGTTTAAAATGTCCGTTAATATTTTAATCCTTTGTAAGCCCAGTTGCTCATTAGTGAGAATATTATTGATATGGACAGTTTTGTTTGCGAGTTTGAATCTCAGATGAAGCACATGGTGTTCTTGTTTTGTTTCTTAAAAGTAAATACCATATGTCTTGATATATACATTTTGCAGGTTATTATTGCAGTTACAAATATTATCCTTTGGTACACTAAAGATATAATGTAAATAATGTATATACAGATACTGTTTGATGACTGTTTGAAATTTAAATGAAAGGAAAAAAGACAGTTGTTCAGAATGACTCACTTGAGCCGCCTCACGACAAAACCAACATAGTGTGTTTGCGATCAGCATGGATCCACTCTGAGACCAGCCTGCGCGTCAGCGCAGTCTGATCAGGATCCATGCTGTTCGCTTACCAACCCTATTACAGGTAGAGAAACTGATAGCAAACAGCATTGATCCTGATCAGACTGCGCAGATGCACAGGCTGGTCTGGATCCATGCTGGTCGCATGTTGGTTTTGTCATGACATGGCTCACTTATCTCTGGTTGGCACTTATTTTGATATTGTACATTGCAGGTATTCACAAACAGCCCAGGTGTTACAGATGGAGAATGATGTTGACCTTGAAATGATTCGGGAGAGAGAATCAGCCATTAAACAGCTGGAGGTAAATTATTTCTTAATTCTTTAAAATGCCAGAGGTAAATGTTGACTTGCCTAAATCCTGTGATATAGAGAAATGTCAGTCTGTACATTTTGAAGACCAGAATTTTGATGTATGGGATTTACTTTTAGCTGTTAAATAATTTTGTGCATTTCTCTGCAGTTGAAGTTATGTCATATTTGATTTGATGTTTTTTTTCCTGGCATATGCTAGTAGTTCCCCCCTTTTGCATATTACGCAGTCTTGAGTCATGGCACTATACTTTTAGCTGTTTAATTTTTGTCATTTCTCTGCAATCTCTTATGTCATATTAGTTTTGATTAATGTTTTCTCCCTGACAATAGTTACCTCCCTTTGTACTGAAGACCCCATTTGCTAATTTAATATGATTATATGAGCCGTGTCACAACAAAACCAACATGGTGAGTTTGCGACCAGCATGGATCCAGACAGCCTGAGTATCCGCTCAGTCTGATCAGGATCCATGCTGTTCGCTATCAGTTTCTCCACTTGTAATAGAATTGGTAGGCGAACAGCATGGATCCTGATCAGACTGCGCGGACAAACCCATTATGTTGGTTTTGTCATGACATGGCTCATATATTTCTATTAGTAGTTATGAGTCCTTTGAAACAGGAAGTAGCTTCTTGAAAGACATCTTACAAAGTGATATTGTTTGAATACTGCTATTATTTATTGATCTGAACAACTATATACATGTATTGATGATAGTAATCCCTATATCCTATATCAATAATTATTCATACACAATGGAGGTGGAAAAGGTACTCTTTGATATATTTTTTTCCAATTAAGATCTTAATCTGTCATTCTCATTACTTAAGGTAGTCTTACTGTAATGCTTTTCTGCCAAAAAGTTCTAACATTGGCCAATATCGTAGCAAATTAGTTATTTTTGGAACATTATTTTTTACAAAATTTTAGGCATTAGATTATTTACAATCACTCATCCTTTTTCGCTATAAACTAAATTCCGGTTATAAACAGTTAAAAAGTATTGAATACTGAAGATTGTGAAAGATAACATTCCTAAAATGAGCGAGATTTTACGATATTGGCAGATGTTAAAAAATTTTTGGTGGGAGAGCATTGCAGTAAGACTTCCTTAAAATACCCAACTTGTTATCTGTTCTCTCACTTTCTCTCACACTCTTTCTTTTATTCTTTCACACACACTAACATTTTATATTTTATGTTTGTAGAGTGACATTATGGATGTTAACCAGATATTTAAGGACTTGGGCATGCTGGTTCATGAACAAGGAGAGGTCTTAGGTAAGATTTTTATGCTCTGATGATGATGGGGTTGGTCGGTATATATGTATTTCACCTCTTTCTTGTCCAGTAAATAACTTGAAAGGGAGTTAATCATGTTTTATGAAGCATGGAAGGGACATTGCTTATGGCCAGTAGATGACCCCTATAGATTTTGAGGTCAGAAGGTCAAAGATAAAGGTCACAATGGCTGATCAATAAATAGGGATAACTTTGGCCTACAGTACTAAAACTGGATGTGGATCTTTGTCATGGTTGTTAGCTAACTCAAAAAAGATTTTGAGGTCAGAGGTCAAGGTCTCTGTGGCTTTGACCACTAAAATATGTTTAACTAATAACTGGAGAATGCTTTGTTTTACAGCCTTAAGATTAAGTGTGGAGGTTGTTCATGTCTAGTAGATGATTTTGATCAAATAGCAATGTCATAGTGGCACTACGTGTAAAATCATTGTCCCATCATTTAGGAAGAACAAGTTTTATTCTTTAGGGGCATTGCCCATGTCAAGTAAATTCTAACTATTTTTTTGAGATAATTGGGTTAAGGTCACAGTAACATTTTGTGTAAATTCCTTTAAAATGTTTTAAATTAATTTGCAATAAATACTCTCTTAAACTTTATATAATATCATGGTCATAAACTTACATTTTCATATCTCATATTTTATCAACACACAGATAGTATAGAGGCGAATGTAGAACATGCTACCATCCACGTAGAAGAGGGCACAAAACAACTGAGTGCCGCCAGAAATTACCAGGTACGTAATTGAGCCGCGTCACGACAAAACCAACATAATGGGTTTGCGACCAGCATGGATCCAGACCAGCCTGCGCATCCGCGCAGTCTGATCAGGATCAATGCTGTTTGCTATCAGTTTATCTACTTGTTATAAAGTTTGTAAGCGAACAGCATGAATCCTGATTAGACTGTGCGGATGCGCAGGCTGGTCTGGATCCATGCTGGTCGCAAACCCATTATGTTGGTTTTGTCATGACGCGGCTCATATGTATTATCATTGTGAAATTATCTTATATCTATTACTTTATTATGACAGTTTTTCATCAAGTATTATCATATTTAATGTTAGTGTAGATTTTTTCCCTCTTCTATAATGTATATCATGTTGTTGTAAACCAATTCCAAAGCATGATAGAGGAAGCACAATTAATAGCATAGATGTTTTGATTTATTTTATCTTACGTAAGTTTTTGTTCATAGAAGTTATCCTCTGACCTTTTTGAGTAAATTAAGCAGGGCTCTTGATCTCCTTTTCTTAACGCCAATATTTGGCACCATCTCCTGGTAAAAAAATATTGAGTTGTTTTGTTTTTTTTGCTAGCAAAATACGGCCCTCAATGGCAATCATAATTATATACAAGAATGGTCAAGTGTTAGTTAATTGAATTGTCTGTATGCTGAATGCCACCAGAGTTTAATCTATATTCAATAAAACTGCTAGAAACTATCTTTTTTGTATATTTTTAAATATAAGTCTTGTTTATATGTGCATCAAAATTGCCAGAAATTCACTCTACAATTGGAAAACAATTTGAAAATTCCCCCTACTACAACTACAAGTACACATACTGTTCACCCAAAAACAGAGAGAGAGAGAGATAGAGCCCTGTCATGTTTAGTTGTGTAAAAGATACCAAGTCACTCATAAAAAATGAAATATTTTGTTTATTCTGTCCAACACAATATTGTTGTTTTATTTCTAAATGTATTTGCACTTGATCGTCAATGTAAAGGCACTAGAAGATTATAGGTAGATGAACTTTTCTAGCATAAAAAACTGCTAGGGTGATAGGTTGAATGAAAAATGTTTATTTAAAGTAAAAGCCTGTCGTTTTTTACACTCCAAAATACTAGTGAACATTATGATTTGGTAATGCTATCAATAATAATACTGCAGTGTAATCACACCTTAAACTGTGGTTTCACAAAACTTTGATCAGTATTTTTCAAATGAAAGACCTATCTTTTACAAAGGATAGCTTTTTAACACAATACATGTGAAGTCAGTTTTCAAAACATACTTCACGAAAAGGTTAAAAAATATATCAGAATATGGATTAATAATGAAGGCATCTGATAATCAACCCCCTTATACCATTCTGTCCATTCTCACAGCTTTATTGTAATGTCTAACTTTCAGACGCCTGATAAATTAAAAGTTAAGCCATCAGTTTTTGTGCTAGAAAGTTTATCAGATATGTTGTGAATCCAAATTCATCATTTTATGTTCTGTTTATCCTATTTATTTATTTTTATTTTCAGTCGAAAGCTAGACGAAAAAAGTGTTGTCTCATAGTAGTGTTGTTGGTTATATTAGCTATTGTTGGTATAATTATAGCTGTCACAGTATCAAATAATAATTAGAGTGAAAGGTATACATGTTTATCATAATACTTAATGTATCAATTAATAATTAGAGTGAAAGGTATACATGTTTATCATAATACTAAATTTATAAAATTATGATTAAGAGTGAAAGGTATGATTTGAGAGAAAGGAATAAATGTTTATCATATACTTAATTTATCAAATAATAATTCGAGTGAAAGGTACACATGCTTATCATAATACTGAATGTATTAAATAATGATTAGAGTGAAAGGTATGATTAGAGTGAAAGGAATACATATTTAACATATACTTAATTGATTAAATAATAATTAGAGTGAAAGGTATACATGTTTATCATAATACTTAATGTTTGATTAGAGTGAAAGGTATACATGTTTATCATATACTTAATGTATTAAATAATGATTAGAGTGAAAGGTACACATATTTATCATAATACTTAATGTATAAAATAATGATTAAATGTTTATAGTGTACTTAATTCATAAAATAATGATTAGAGTGAAAGTTAAACATGTTTATCATAGAATTATTTTATCAAATAGTGGTCAGAGTGAGATATACATGTTTTTCATATAATGATAGTGCCAAATTAGAGTGAGTATCATACATGTTTATCATATACTTAATGTATCAAATAGTAAGTGAAAGCTGAAGATGTTTTATCATATATTTATTGTATCAAATAATAATTAGTAAGTTAAAATTATGAAACAATTTAACTTAACAGTTTATTTTTGATCTCTTTTTTTGTCACAGATAATGATTTAAGTGAAAGGTTTATACATGTATATATATTTTTTGATTTATCACACACTTTAATTATCAAACACAAATATAAGAATGATTACACATTATATATTATTGATATATTGAGTTTACCTGACTTTTAAAAGATGTATTGTTGATCACCTGTACTAAAGGTATCATTTGAGCCATGTCATGACAAAACCAACATAATGGGTTTGCGACCAGCATGGATCCAGACCAGCCTGTGCATCCGCGCAGTCTAATTAGGATCCATGCTGTTCGCTATCAGTTTCTCTACTTGTTATAGAGTTTGTAAGCGAACAGCATGGATCCTGATCAGACTGCGCGGATGCGCAGGCTAGTCTGGATCCATGCTGGTGGCAAGCACACTATGTTGGTTTTGTCATGGAGCGGCTCAAAATTTTATATAATTGTTTTGCTGTACAGTCAGTACATACATGTAAATTGAAAATTTCACTGAAAATGATGAACAGATTTGCCCGGATTAAATGATGGACAAGTTCATTGAATACATTCAACATCGTCAGGGTTAATCACTGTCTCCCAATCTGTGTTATACACAAACCACTTTGAGTGTTGTATGAAAATATATAGGATGGAATTTGACCATTTTGTCAAAGTGCCAATGCTTATATTCATAGCAAGTAATAAGGGTTTCAGACTGTTATTACCTTACTTGTCGCCAAAATGGATTCAAGTAACAACAGCAAAATGGAATTCTTCTATATGAGGCTGCTGTAAAGCTAGCTTTTGGAAGGTTGGATATTCAAAGTGCTCATCCATTCCTAAATTGATGCATTAAGTGGCATCTGTGATTTTCCACTATTAGTAACTGAAATGTCTCGATTACTGGGTATGACCAAAATGCAAGAAAACAAAGAGGAGAAACATAATAGATAATCTGAAATGTCTGAAATAGGACCAAAACAAAACAAAATAAGAAACATACAATTAAAACGTGTTTGTGTACATAATATATAAACATTGATGTATATTATTATTTATAAAGATTGTTGACAGGTTATATGACCCTATATAAATGGCTATTTGTAAATAGAACCCGAGCTGCTCGGCGAGGGTTATATTGCAAACAGCTGTTTATATACGGCCATATAACCTGTCAACAATCTTTATAACAAATTTATATTACAAAGTAAGATTTCTTCAAGAATCGACAGCAGCCGTGTATATAAAACTATATAAACATCACAATTATCCAATGAAAAGCGACGTTACAAACGTGCAGTATTATTAATATATATATATATATTTATTTTTCAGTCTCAAACACGTAAGAAGCGATGTATTCTCGTGATATTTCTGTCAGTGATCATTATCATCGTTGCACTCATCATCTGGTTAGCAACCAAATAGAATGTGCTTGACAACGCAAACACATCATCATCCTCCTTGGTTACAGTTGCTAGGATACAAACATGCCTGTTGAACAAACAATATTCAGTACATGTATATCATTAGTGAATCAAGGATATGTCCCAGAAACTGATTTGTGTTATATTTATTTGTTAATATATATATGTTACAGATTAAATTAAATGATTCTTTATGAATTGTTGTTACAATAAAAAAAATAGTCACATTGGGTTATAAAATTATGTTTAACATTTTTCATAATTGTTCATAATAACACATGTCAGCAGCACACCTCAAGAAGATGATAAATAATCAAATGATTTACTAATATATCAAAATCTCTCTTCAAATACATAAAATAAAATAAATAAATAGAAATGTCACTTTAAAAAGTGCATATTTTTCAATTTATTACTTTAAAAAACAGACAGTTATTTTTTTTATCTAAATATACCTTCTTTAAATATACTATAAATTGTCTTTTCTATTTTTTTTTCTGCAGTTACGTTAATTATGCAGTAGATTATGCAAAGAAAATACATGTTTTACTGACAGTTTTGTCAACATTCTTTCTTGAATTAAGTGGTCAATGATAATGAACAAATGACATCAATATTAAGCAGATTATCTGGATTATGTTGAAATTAATATATAGAAGCTACTGAGAATATTTAAGAGAGGAACATTATATAAGTTTATGATGGCAATATTGGTTTTACATTTATTGTTAATATTATTTTGATTTAAAAGTGAAAATCTTTAAAGAAATTTATAGAACTTATGTCCGAGGACAGAATTGTTTTAAGACATGTATACTAATAGCTGTTTAGTATGATGAAAAAGTTTATCACAGACCATTGCCGATTTTGCAACTCCTCAAAAAAATGGTATTTTACAGCCTTGCATATATTTTTGACATGACGTCATTTGCGTTATACAAACATGGTGTAAATAGTGCGAAATGTTAGCGTTACATTGTAGGCGTGTTAATGAAAAATGATCTTTTTTCACTTCAAACACTCTTTATTTTTGGGTATGTGATAAATAGAATATTATATTTGAGAAGGTCCGTTACTAAATTTATTGAAGTTGTTGAACAAAGTCATATGCTCACCAGGGGCTATATATATAATTTTATTCAACTTGTCCAATAAATTCAGTATTGAACCTACACTGATTTAATATCATCTATTTAGGGCATTTCATTTTACCAGTCTCATTGATGAAAGGTTGTGAGATATTCCTACACTTGTTTATAAAATATATGAGCCGCGTCAAGACAAAACCAACATAGTGCGTTTGCGACCAGCAGGGATCCAGACCAGCCTGCGCATCCGCGCAGTCTGATCAGGATCCATGCTGTTCGCTATCAGTTTCTCTACTTGTAATAGAGTTGGTAAGCGAACAGCATGGATCCTGATCAGACTGCGCGGATGCGCAGGCTGGTCTGGATCCACAAACTATGTTGATTTTGTCGTGATGCGGCTCAATTATAACAATTATTCATTTAAACTTTATACATGCATGGTAGATTTCACTAATGGTAAAAAAAAAAAATAATAGCAAGGCCCTAAATTTTTTTTCTTTCTGGAAGATGATAAAGATAAATATATAATAATGTGACTAAGTTACCACGACAATGTTCTTCTAAATATTGATGACAGTACTATGTGTTCTTATTCTAGAGAATGTGTCACTGTATGTGCACATTATCATCTGTGTACATTGTTACTAAATCTGTACACTACAGTGTGCATATATGTACTGTTAAGTGTTCACATTATTATTTTATTAAGGAGATAACTTTTGAAGTGTACATGTACATTATCATGTGTATTGTTTTACTAAATGTGTACATTATCATATGACTATGTGAAACTGTGCATACACATAACCATTCATATAAGCGCTATTTTGTGTACATTATGTTATGTATTTGTACTCTGTACATTATCATACATATGTGCACTATTATTCTACATTATCCTATCAGTATGTTTAATCTATATGTACATTATCATTTTATAAATGATAAGAATGTATGAACATTATCGTGTAATCACACATATATGTGTGTATATTAAAATCAGTTGTTTTTTTATCATACATTATTTTTTAAAACTTTTGTAGCGGGGACTTATGTAGTCAGCTTATTTGTACATGTGATTTATTATAAAGATATCCAATTATATGACATTTGTTACATCCATCCAATAAAGTGGTATTTAAATGGCATTAATTGTTTTTGAAAGTGGAAATGAACATGTGAATCTATTTAACCATTAAAATGCATGAATAAAAAAAGAACATTGTCACCAGTTTAGAGCCTAGGTAGACTCGTGTACATGTAGAGTGAACAAGCTTTATCTACCAATTTTCAAAGTTTTATTTTAATATTTCAAGTAATTGATAATGAAGAGATTGGTGAAATGGAAGTCTGGGTAGGTGTGTTTAAGAAATTCAGCAAGTGTTAAACTTTGAGATGTGTGTATTTTACATGTACATGGTATGACAGTAGCATCACCATTAGGTATAAAGTCTGGATTTGTGTGTTGCCAAATTGTTGTTGTCATGGTAACTTGAAAAAATGTTACAATCATGTATTATCATTTTCAACTGAAAATATAATTTTAAGAACAAATTTGTTGCAGAATAGATTACTTTAGCAATTTTATTCTTTAGTTTGAAAAAAAAAATGCACAGAAGCTTAAAATTATTATTTAGTTTTCTTTTCTTTTTATTCTTTTGTATTTATTAATTGGATACTATGCTTACATAAAACTATGCCCATAGGTTGTATACTGTATTATGTTAATATAAATATAAGGACCATTTTTATTTACTATATGTTAAATGCACGACTTTATTATAATATCAAACATATTTCCATCATCTTATAATGAGACACATAAATTTTATTTCTTTGGTGGAAAAAATAGAGTTTTAAAAAAATGGAAATTCTTGCTAAAATACTGATATAGTATATAATATTTGAAGATACTCAATTGCCTCCCTTGATGCTAGAAAAATTATCTTTGACTTAATTTGTATTCCTTTAGGTTCCTTAATTTAAAAATGGTTAATTCAAAGGACTGGTAAATAATTATTAAGATGAAAACATTGTAAATTTTGTATCAAGTTAATTTGTTCATGAATGGAAGTGTGAAGATGCATAATAAAACTGTCTATAAGAATTTTGCCTTGTTACTTTAAGGTGATATGTAGAATATCTGACAAAAATACAACAAAGATATAATTAGAATCATCAGAAATAAAATCTGTTTGTCATGAACTTTATAAAAGCTGGTTCAAATTATTTCAGGCTTTTATCCTACCAGTCCAAATGCATACAAGTCTTATACTATTGGTTACTATGTTTTATCGTTATTTGTCCAAAAGTCCCAAAAATATGTATTTAGTTTGTGCATATGATTTAGTTTTTGGCAAGTCTTTTACGCCAATAAGTGTGAAAAAAGTGTTAAATGTATTTATGTATATACATGTAATATGGTAACACAAGTTTACCCTGAAAATGGTTAAACAAGATGAACAAAATTTTGAAAATAATACCACGAAAGTTTTCTGTCAATATTCATGAATATTTATGACATACATAATTAAATGCATGACACAGTGGTCATGAATAATTCATTACAGAGAAAATTGTACATACGGCATATATGTATTGAAAAATTGTATCATATGTTTATATGTTTATGTATTTACTGTTATATTATTTTCTTTATAACTAAAAACACTTATGTGCAATGCTTTGTTTACTCTTTATTTAGTTAACTTGTTAGATAATAATATTGTAGTGAAATTATTAAAGGGACTCCACTGCTGTTTAAAAGCCTAAAAACATAACATTTGAATTTCTTACATAAATAAGCTGGGGCACTTTAAGCAGAAATATATGCAAAGATAGAAATATACTTTAAAATAAATTAAAATCGTATTTTTATGATTTTCTTAGCCCAATTTGAGTGAAAAGTGTTTAAACGCTTTTCATTTTGGGTCATTTTTTTACAATTTGAATAATTATTCTGGAAAAATGAAGTGCGCAAAGATTAGTGGTCTAAACCTACATCAAATGGTACATTTATCTGGAAAAAATACTTTCAGTCCCATCATGTCAAAAAACCTCAGTGGAGTCCCTTTAAACTGCCGTTGGTAAATTAAACAGATGTTAGTTTATTAACAATAGCTATTATTTTTCATAATGTCTGTGAAATATGGGGTTTTGTCAGTGAGATTAATAATATCTGTCATATTTTGCGGTTCGGATCGGAATATCCGTCCCTCGGTGACCCGCCCATTGGGCGGTAACGAGGCTTGCCGAGTTACCGCCCATGGGCGGGTGACCGAGGGACGGATATTCCGATCCGAACCGCAAACATATGTCAGATATTTTTTCTTGCATGCTCTACCATATTCCATTATATTTTAAAGTCTTTATCTTTATTTTCAATGAAAATTTATAGCATTAAAACCGTAACTACTTTCATTCAACAGCGTATGAATTACAAAATCATTCATAACGGTAAAATGCGTCATCTTTATCGTGCCATTGTACAGCACGCGACTCATCTGGAACCCCCCATGCCAGATGAAATTTCCGGCATGGGTAAAACTAACGGAAACGCCAGTCTGATATGCAAGAAATTATTTATCTCATTCACTGTCTACTAGTTAATGTGAAAAATTATTTTTTTGTTTAAACTTGAATTTTTTTTTGTGAATATAGAAAATGTCTCATTTGGCGTTGAAAACTGTTTCCTTGTGATACATGTTAATTTGACATATGGCATGAACAATTATATCTTCTCAGTGAGATATATTTTCTATTTCATTGGAAAGAAACAAAAGAGCCGCGTCACGACAAAACGAACATAATGGGTTTGCGACCAGCACAGATCCAGACCAGCCTGGGCATCTGTGCAGTCTGATCAGGATCCATGCTGTTCGCTTACAAACCCTATAACAAGCAGAGAAACTGATAGCTATCCATGCTGGTCGCAAACGCACTTTGTTGGTTTTGTCATGACACGGCTCATATGATAACTTGTGTGACCTCTACAATAAAAGGTCACATACATGTATAGATAAGACTACAGTCAAGTTAAGAAAGCAAAATCCATAACAAAATTACGACTCATTTTCTCTCTGCGAAAGATTGATATAGCAAATATTTATTATCAAATTTTAAATAACTATTACTTATTAGGGGTGTACATTATTTAGAATTGAGAGATACATTTCTTAGTTAACATGATATATATCTCTGTTTAGTGATATAAAACTCTTATTTAGTGATGTTAAATCTCTTGTTTAGTGATAAAAAAATCTCTGTGCTAAAATGAAAAGAGTGTACAAATGTTTTTGTGTCATTTTATCTTTTGTTATGAGTTTGTTATTGAATTTTATTATGTTAGATTTATAAAACTAAAGGGCAAATGTCTACTTCTTTGACCACATTCCATTTTGTCCTCTCTCCACATAGAACACCAAATGTTATTTTGAATGAACCATAGAAAATTTATTCTGTCTTGTATCTAAATACTACCTACATTTTCATCTAAACTCCGCCTTCATTTTTATCTAAACCACGCCTTCTTTTTGTCTATAGACCGCCTACATTTTGTTATACGTTTGTTAGTGTATAGGAAAAAAGTCGATAATTGAAAATAATTGATAAATGTCTGGTAGAAGTCTTTTTTATGAAATTCCTCTTAAATAACTTGTAAAGTTCTTTACTTAGCATTCAAGTTCAAAGATTTCCAGGAAAGACATAGTTTAGATTTCTAAAATGGTTGTATAGTCTGAATAATAGAGATATTTAATTTACTTATTTGATTTAATTTATGTATACATGTAAGTAAAATCCTACAATAATGATGACCTTTACATGATCTTACATGTTGAAATCTTGTTGCACATGTGATAACTTTGTTTAATTGTATAACTTCGTCTTTAACACCAAGTAAATGTAAATGCATTATTCGTCAGTTTAAGAAAAAAGTTCATTTTGTAATTTAAATTTTGCAACAAAAATTTTTATTAAAGGTAAAAAGTTCTTATACTTAATACTATGAATAGATTGTCTAAAATACCGGGTAAATAGAAATATAAATAAATAAAAGCTTATCATATGAAACAGATTTCATTACTTTTGTCTCTCTATTAAAGGGAAGTAATAATTTGTGAGGTAAAGTAAATGTTTTCCTGAGATGTAGCAGTTATTTCCCTTGTTTTGAATTATACTTAACGGGTGTATAAATTATGTTGTTATTTCATTAAAATAAAATGGACAAAAACTGCTTTTTTCCTGACACATTAATATAGATGGATATCGAGAAATAAAAAGTATAAATTATCATAGTTTCTTATTTACTATTTTAAACCCCTATTTCACACAGATCAAGGGTTTGTATGGGCCTGGGACATATGTCATTTTAAATCCCTGCATAGACAGAGAAGGAAAATTTAATCTAGTGCAGAGAATTTTCTTAAACTTGGCATGATTAATGGAGATCATAATTGAAACAATTTAATGAAAAAATAGGGATCTCCATCCTACTATTTAGTGCCTCGAATAATGCACGGGCTGTAGAGATGACAATGTTGCCGTGACCAAGAAACTATGTGTAACAATTAAAAGATCATTTGATTTGTAATATCTGTTCACTTTTTCCCATCGTATTATTTGACCTTTTAGAACTCGAGTCCCGGCGCCAGAATCAAATCATGTTTTGTTTCTTGTATGGTTGACTTAGTAGGATCATGCAAAATACTTATTATCATCTTGGAAGATTAAGTCTTTTTAGGTCGGTTAAAGTCTAAATTATTATACAGTATTGTATTAGAATTTCTTGTACCACTTTGCTGCTATTGAGCATTGAGCATGAATTTTAAAATATACGATTTGAATCTGGGTTTGTAAAAGTTACATTTCTCTAGCTTTAAGCTAAATGTTTTTTTAGGTTCTGAGTAATAATCTTTAGCAGAAAATCTTAGAACGATTATTTGAAGTCACGTGACAATCTTGAAATTTTGATGAAAACGGTACAATATTAACATCAACAACTAATAAAAACTACAAAGGACTCGAGAAACTAACATGTCTGTGACATGAATGTAAATGTTAAAAGCACTTCTGAAAAGAGATTTTTCTTTCAGATAACGTCAGTCATTGAACAAAAATAGTTCATTTTAGCGGACGCAAACGCCTATATACGTCCTTGAAAAATGAAGACAAATTGACTGGGTCAAATTGATACAAAGTATCTGTCAGATTCAATTGTGTAAATATACATTTTGTACGGTAGCTTATGTCGGTGAAGAGAATGTCTACATTCGTATTAGACCGTGCCAAACATGTAATAACATCTTGAAATTTATTATTCCTTATTTTAAAATAGTACACCGTTTTACAATTTGCAGCCAGGACTGATGTGATTTTTCATAAATTTGTTAATAATACAAGACTTAGAGGAAAATGACCAACTTTAATGCCGCACTCAGCAGAGGCCGCATAATAAATACATCTGAGTTTGAACCCCGGCAGTTCTTCTTATCTTATCATTTATTGTGTCGATATGTCGCCACTGCTCTGTAGATGCGGGATAGCTTCTTCGTCGTCTGTCTGTCCGTCCGTCACAAAACTTGTCCGGACTACCCCTCTAAAACTACTGGTGCAATTCCATCCAAACCTTACAGGAATGATCAGTTCTATGTTTAGTTACGCATATCGTCGGCATTTTCCGGATTAATGATTTTTTGTCAGAGTTATGGCCCTTTAATGATTTTTATTTTTTAAAGTTTGTCCGGCCTGCTCCTCTTATACCACTAATGTATTTCAATGAAACTACAGAAGAAAGCTATTGTACGTAGTACACGGGTTTTCTGGTTGAATAATTTTGACTGAGTTATCGCTCTTGAATAAAAACGTTTTTTTTTTGCCCTGTTGAATATTTTTGTGTCTCCAGTAGTTGCAACGTGAAATTGGCTGCCATGAGGCGACACGTGATATCTGTTGCCCTTGTATTATGCATATGTTCATGGCACCATTGTTTCGTTGGTCTTATACAATATTCAGGGTTATACAAACGTTCGTTAAATGTGTGCGCCATTTTAGCCCTAGTCCGTTACTATACATACGTACGTCTTAATTCTTTTTCTGTGGCAAATGAAACAACAAAAGGAAAAATAATAATTATGTTACTTAGACCGCCAATACAGTACGGATTGAAATTCTTCTATTGTCAGGGACAAAATGGGAGATTTTAACACGCATGCGCGGACGTTTTACTACTAACTTCTAAACATACCAAATTATAACAAACAGATCATTAAAATAAATAAATAGATTTATTATGACAGATTATTCATTACAGAATGCACAGACAATGATAATCACCCATTTACATAATAATACCTCTCTTTATAGAATATCCTCCTTATATCTCAACTATCCAAACAAATGTATATAATATATATAAACTATGAAAATTATATACATAATGAAACACGATTTATATATACACAGAAAACAATAACAAACAAAATGCTAGACATCTAATATCACATTGTATACTGAATTTAAAGGTTTAACAAAAAGCGAAAATAAATAAATAAATATATTTTTTAAATATGTAATATGTGACACGTCAGTCAAAAATGATTAGTCATTTACATTTATGACTTTCTTTCTTTCTTTCTTTCTTTTTTTCTTTCTTTCTTTCTTTCTTTCTTTCTTTCTTTCTTTCTTTCTTTCTTTCTTTCTTTTCTTTCTTTCTTTCTTTCTTTCTTTCTTTCTTTCTTTCTTTCTTTGCTACACTAAATAATAAATGAAATAAAACGTTTCCTCAATGAAAACGTCGATACTCTTTAACTTTATGAGCACGAGAGTCTCTGTAAATGGGTAAAACTTATGTTTGTTTGTGTATGGGAAATAACTCCGAAATTCTGTCCCATGAAAAAGAACCCCACAATCTGCCCAAAAACGACCCTAAAATATGTCGACTACTGATAAACCTGAGATCGATATCATATTAGATTTTTTTACGGAAGCTGACAAAGGACATTGCGGCTAGAAATTAGATTAGCGTAGCGGATTGATTTAACTAATTGTTTGAAGTATATACATGTACATCTATTATTTATTTACTCTACAAATTGTTCCTATTGTTGATAAATAATGAAGTACGATATTTAGTAGAGAAGTACTGGCGTGGGAACAGTGTCCTGATTTTCATTGTTATTCATTTAGTGGTGATAGTGGCAAACATTGGCGAAATCCTTATGCATTATAAATTAGGTTGCGTGACATGGACTTCTTTCTGCATATTATATACCAGCTATCTACTTAGCTTAATACTGTTCAGGTTTGCCGCTCATCGTCGGATACCCACGGTTGATTAGCATGTAATATAACAGGTAATCATAAATGTTAATGGTTCGGCCGTGGGTATCCGACGACGGTTTATCGCAACACTTGAATATCTACAAAGTTTCTCTACGCCCCCATCCCTTTCCATCCCCATACTCATTCCCCTATCTTGATATATCTATCAACTGAGCTTATTAAACGCAACGAATTAAAACATTCCGCCTCTCACCCGCAATTTGTCAAACCAACCCCCCCCCCCCCAACATTTCGCTTACAAATTCGAGTTATAACTAATTTAACTCCGTTTTGTTTATGTAAGTTTACGCTTTAATTGATAAGATATTTTATATTCTTTTGATTTGAATATCTTATCCACAATACTTAGATATAATCTTAAAAATGTTGTAATTATAATATAATTTATTAAACAATGTGACGTAAGCATTTGGCTTAAAGCCCGCCACGGGTATAAAATAACAAAATTAATACTGAACAAAGCGGTTTTTGACAACTGCAAACAATGAATAAATACACTTTCATTTAAAATTTTACAATAATATAGTTTATCGATCCAATAGAAATACAGTATCACGTATTTGTTTTATAAACATGTATACATGCCATTTGCTTTGGTAATACTGTTTGTATGCGATAAATATTTGTGATTTGTCATGAATATGACATACAGTATATAATACCAACATAAAATTCCACCAATTAAAACGTAATATTTGTTGTACGTATCATGAATGTATCATAAAATTTAATGTAACAAACATAACATAATGCGTTATAAATATACATATATACATAACAGTAACAATAATCTAATAGAAATCTAAATTTAAAATATCCCATGATTCTAAAACTTATTTATAAAAAATCCTATAAAAATGACCAATTAAATCAGATATTTTACATAAAAAATTATTTGACAGTCATCAAGTGCTATAAACTAAGCTGTCAAATAAAATCTAATACTGTCTGGCGTGACAGACTACCACCGATTGATCGGTCGTTACCCGCCATTTTAAATTGTACGTGATTAGACCTGTTTCAGACAAAAAACGACATTTTCACACTTAAACTGATTAAAAGATTTGCTATACGATTTACGTACACATTTAATTTCAAAATCAATATTCCGGCATAACTGTCGATTCTGATTTAAAAGTTTAAAATTAATCAATGGCGGACCAGTTATTTTATTCCAACTCGAAATTTCGAAAAGTCAAAGTTCATGTTATACGGGCCATCCGTATAATCCGTATAACCAGTTACAACTTAGTCGAACCGTATAACATAGTGTTCCGTATAACTTTACCAATCCAATCCCTGAATCCTAGCATGTAAAGCACCTTTCAGGTAAGTCGCCTGTTTTGCAAGTCTCTCTGAAGCATGGCTGCTAAAACACAACTATATGTATTATAAAAACGAAACTAATTATTTTAAGTTGACTAAGCTCATACGGGTACTATAGGAGTTTCTTGTCGGTCTAAAAGTTCAGATATGTCTTTAACATTTTCACCAGTTCCTTCTTGTTCCGTTAATCCCATTTCCTGTCGCTCCTTCTTGCGCCTTCGCACCTCCTCGCGTCTTCTTTCGCGTTCCAGCTGCTTTTCTCTGACTTCTTGCAGACGACGCTCGCGTTTGTCTGTTACACTGTCCATTTTCTGAGTTACTTGTTCTTCCTTCTTTTTCTGATAGTCTTGGAATGATGATAAAGCGGCTGTTTGATCCGCTTTATCCATTTCCTTGATTTTCTCTAGACGGGCCTTTTCTTTTCTCTGAAATAATTCAACAAGTACATGTATAGTGATGGAGATATGGTAAAACTAGTATTAAATGGGGGAAAATCAAATGAAAATCAACGATTTATTTGGTAGTAATTAAACAGACGACAGTAACCATTTTTTGGGGAATAAAATGGTTGTCATCTGGCATGAAAAAAAGTGACTCAATTTTCAAGTAGAATATTCACCCAACAATTAGCCCCTTTTCATTTCATTGTGCTTTTCTACTTATCAAAATATACGTGTTTGAACTTCAAATACACTTTATTGCAAACTGACAAATAAACGAAAATAAACGTGTCCGATATTTTGATACATACAATTATAGATATATTTCTTAAGAAGTCTTCTTAGTGTATAATTATACACGTATTGTTAGCATTTTGTTCTCATTTTTCAATGACTAAGGTCGCTTCAATTGATCGTAATCTGTTTATAAAAGGAAATATCTTCTACAAGAACCATTATGTAAATATTTAAACTGTCACAGTAAACATATAGATATAAAAACGAGGATCATTACCGCAAAAAAAAATCGTCCCAAACCCCGGTATGAGTCACATTTTTTGTTGTTGTTAATATGTACATGTATTCAATTAAGCTCGATTTTGAAGCATGTTCTTTCAACAGAACATTACGTTCTAAGAATGAACGTGGCGAGAACGAAAAGAGCTCACACACACGATCCATGAATTTCAAAAACCTACCTTTCTTCTTTCTTCTGCACGTTCTAATTTTTCTTGGATTTCTTCCTCTGTCAGAACACGTTTCTTCTTTCTTCTTTTTTCTATTTTAGCAAGTTTCAAGGGAGGTAATGCCGGTAGTTTTGATCCATTCATCTCTACAATTTCGAACGCAACTCCGGTCTTTTTCTCACTGTTTGTTTTTGAGATGAGGCCCTCTTCCCTTAGTTTTTGTAAAATCATGGATTCTTCCAGTCGGGCCTTATCCTTGGCGCTATTTCTTGTAGGTAAAGCGGTACCGGTTATTCCTAATTCTGTAAATTATAAAAGAAAGATATAATTATGTTTAGTTTTGGTAGTTAACTAGAAGACGAAACACACACAAAGTAAAATTGGTCTTGATTGGGTATCTGTAGGATTTTGCAAGATTTGAGAATGTAATATTACAGCCATGCTATTGTTATGGGGCTACTTTTGTCTTTGTATGAACCACGTGCTTGCACTTTGTGTTTTGTTGTTTTTTTTTTCAAAATCTGCAGAAATATCAGTTATAGGTACATTCCTCAGAAACGAATATTTTTTTATTACTTTAGAAAGGGTTATCATGAATTGTATAACATATAAATAACGGTTTTAGAGCATGTTAGATGTTTGTTACCCAAAGGAAGTAGCAATTTTGTCATAAAAGTAGCAAAGTGTAAACAAAAATGTACTTTGACTTCCATACAAAATACTACAATGTAATTCACTATAATTGTACGGATTGTCCCAAAAGCAACAGATGAAAAAGATGGTCGATGAGTTACTTTTGGAATTTTTAAAAGTACATAAAATATGAAAAGCTTTTGAGAAATAAAAATAAAAGCATTTCTTAGGCATAACGGACCTTTAAAAATAGTTCTTTCTTATAAAAAGTCAGTCAATAATGAGTACTACAAAGTCGGGACTATAGTCCTCCAGAGCTTGCATTTTAAGGTGTCCCCTTTCATAATTAAACAGGTTTCTAATTTATGCAGTCCGTAAAAGGTTGGACAAATACGCTCAAGTTTTTTCATTTTAGCATGCTGTTTGACAAAGGAGGCAAATGTAAATATATTAAAATATATATTCTCTAATTGAGTCTCTGTCAAGACATATAAATGCTTGATAATTAGCATAAATCCTTCTTCAAGTATTAGAGTTTAGACGTTTTGTATTATAATAGTTTTTTAAATCTAATGCAATTGTAGAGGTATATAAGAAGGGGTTTAATACGTGTGTGTGTATCGATAAGATAATCTTTAATACATCTATAATAAGTTTAATCCTTATAGTACAAACGCTTGAAAGCTTTATTGATTTAGGATTATCCAACGCCATTTAACATAGGGTTCAATAAAATTATGGCACTAAACAAATTAGATAAATGGAAGTCCCGGAGATTAGCAGGTAAAAGACAATAATGTGGGGGCGAAGATCTACTTAATATTTATAATTTTGTGTGTGTGTCGTAGGGCGGAAGGGGGGGGGGGGGGGGAGAGAAAGAACAGAATGAAAACGATTTTTGAAAATGAACGTATTGTTGTTACGTCACTCCTGCACCTTAATTGTAGAAGAAAAGCTTTTTTGATAGGGACAATGGAAAAAGATTTCGATATATAGATTGGTTGCATGCAAACATTTTTTTTAAAAGGTACAGAAAACAAATTTTGACAGATCTATTTTTTTATTTGGATCTGTATTGAAGGAATATAAATATCGTAAGACATTAAAAGGAGACAAGAAAAGAATTACACTGACGACAGTTTTACTGTCAGATCTTTCCACTTTGCAATGCATAATTTATCTTTTTATAATAAATCGAACTGCTAACAAAAACTCAATGCACTGTAGTATCATATGTAAGAAGTAATGTAAATTCACTTTGAGAGAGAAAAAAAAGATTCTTATTTAAATTAGAAACGCAGAAAAATCTGCGTATTTGATCTACAAAAAAATATAGTTTGATCTTTTAAATGTATAAATAATTTACAAATTTATAACTTGCACCTGGGATTGAGAAAATCGACTTGTACTAAATTTATCTTAAGTGTTTTATTCAATTCACAATGAAACAGCTGTGAAGTTTAATGAACGAAAATCACCTAATTGCATGGTAAATTATGGCATTAAAATGAACGAGGACTGTTTTTCAAGATGTGAAACATATATCATAATCGTTTAGTAAAATATGATCCGACAAAATATCCACTGCCTTATAGTCAACAATGTTTAAACAGTCTTATTTAAAGTATTTTCACGCTGTTGACCTTGCAAATCAAACACTTACTTCGATATTCACCAGTTATTAATTCAGTCCGGGGACAAAACAACTCATATTTGTTTAACTATTTTAGTTAAACATGAACCGAGGACAAACTTGACCACTGCTATTTTAGCTAAACCTGAACCGAGGACAAATTCGGCCACTGCTTTTAGCATTTTATTTGTTCTTCTTGTCCGTTTCTTTTTAAATTTAAAAATAGCAATTTTCCTAAATCCATTTTATTTAGACGTATGATTTTTTGGCAGCGGAAATATGTTTGATAAAAAATATTTCTTTATGACAATAATATAGAACAGCACAGAATATTTATTTCTTTTATATATGTTACAGTTGTACGAAAGTTTACACCAAGTTCAATATGCATGTTATTAAATAAGATGTATTTGTAATGGTCACTTTTCTAATTAAAGGTGCAAATTCATTCATGTATAATGCATGTAATATAGATAATATCATATGAAGTATATATATAGTATGATAACTTATTACGTATAATCAATATTTGTCGCTTTTGTGGTAATCATGGTTGCGAATTGATGCAATAAATATTTTTCGAATAATGAAAACAAATTGATTTTAACTGATTTTTCTAGAAATGGCAGTCTGCACATATATAGATATAATACAGTGGTATAAGAATAGTAATGGTAAGGATATTGTGAATAGTTGTGATTAATAATAATATTCTCCAGGTTATACTCAATTAAGCATACATATGAGCCGCAATATGACAAAACCAACATAGTGGCTTTGCCACCAGCATGGATTCAGACCAGCATATATCCTGATCAGACTGCGCGGAGGCGCAGGCTGGTCTGGATCCATGCTGGTCGCAAACCCACTATGTTGGTTTTGTCGTGACGCGGCTCAAATGTTATTTACAAATGTAAGTATACGATTTTCTTTATTTACAGACACTTACATTGATAGCAGTACTAATATATATATCATTTTTCTTTATGATAGTTAATATTGTGACTTATTCATTTCATTCAAAGTTTAAGACATATAAAAATGAATCATAATAAAGTCCACTTCTCATTGAATATTTTGTTAGATCGTAGCAACGTTCTGAGCGGACGAATAGTTATTTCTTTTTTATAGTATATACATTTGTTTGCAGGTGCATGCTCACTTGAATTTATAGAAATCAAAATGAAATTGGTTTGAAATGTCGTTATATATGTCATGATAATTGTTTATACAAGCAGAATATCAATACAGAATATCTTAAGTTGCTTACCTAGGTCTTCCCTTTCTTTAAACTGATTTTCAATTTCTTTAACTTTATCAGGGTCGGAATACTCAGTTATAAATCCTTGGTTGTATTCTCCTAAATCACCTAGCCCAGAATCGTGACTTTTCTTCGACCCTGCAGACCCACCTCTGTCCGAGCCCATACCATCGTCCAACGAGTCACTCGAACCCATAGCTCTCTTATTTTTAGCCGATTTGTTGCGGTTTCCACGGCGTCTGTTATCGTTGATGTCAGGTTCGATCCCTGCGTCTGTTTCACTCATACAGTTCTTAAGTTTCCCGGATTTCATTTCGGCAGCCCCGACTGGCTGAACTCGAACCTGTTTAGACTGTTTACAACCCATTTCTGTTGAATTTTAAATAAACTTATCAGTTTGCACTATTATAAAAATCACTTTGTATTCCAGTTAGTTTAAAAGATGTTAATCAAAAGTCCAAAATCATTGAAACCTGTGTATATTTGTTTGTATTTTAAGTTTAAAAAACGATATTTATCTGTTCATTTCTTGTTCTGTTTATCAGGTTCAATGGAATTCAGTCATGTACGTTAAACCATATAATATTTAAGATTATCGAGTGTTCGGATACCCTCCGTTTTTACTGTTCATACATATACGTG